ACATGACTGGCTGGGCCATGATGCTTATAGTCTCCCTTCTTTCTGATCGCACCAAAATGCGTGGGCCGTTCCTAATTGGCTGTGGGATGTTTTCTATCATCGGGGCGACTCTGTTGTTCACACATCCGGCGGAGTCGAATCGAAAAGTTGCCCTCTCTGGCATTTTCATTCTTTTGGCAGGGGTTTTCCCATGTGTACCACTACAAGTACAATGGGCTTCGGACAATTGCGGTGCAGAATCAAAGAAAACAACTGCAATAAGTATGCTACTTGTCGCAGGTCATTGCTGGAGCATTCTCGTGAGCAAAAGCTTTCCGACAAACGAGGGGCCTAGGTTTATTCGTGGATATTCCATCGTACTCTCGTTTTTATGCCTGTCTGTCATCCTGCCTACCATTTTGCACGTTCGTCACCGCATCGTCAATGCGCGGCGGGACAGGAAGTATGGTATACCCAATGCTAATGACCCGGTCGATACCTCTGAATTGGCCGATCACGCGCCGATGTTCCGATATGTTCTTTGAGAAATTTTATCAACATGGATTGCTACTCTCCAGGAATCACGATGGACTGGTATCTTTTGTGAGGAGCTGGATTGGCTTTAGCCGCCGAGTCATAGACGATATATTTTTCTTTCAACTCGATGATTTCACGATATGAACAGTTTCGATAATTTAATGAGCTTCACCACGAGTTTGGTACGGGGTTTTCTTTTGTTTGAATTGCTGGTAATGAAACAAGTTAGCCGAATAGATTTATTTACACAAGTTTTCACTTTTTGGTGTTTAGGGGATTCGTTGGTTTCTCATCCTCACCAAGCATTCTATTTACGCAATTTATGAACACCTGTGTATTAAAATATTAAAATGGAATGTCCTGTCATTACGCCAAAAATCCCCCCGCAACCACCAAAAAAAGAAAGAAAGAAAATGTAAGATTTGATGAAATCTGTTTACGCTGTATTTAGTTTTGACCATTTCTTTTTGCTTTTCTTTTTTTTTCTTTTCCTTTTTTTTTTTTTTTTTTTTTTTTCGAGTAGCATACCTTGTAGATATCGTGTTCGCTTTATTAAGCACCTAATGAGACAAATTGACCAATGATGGAGATGGAAAGTTGGTTTACTGTAACTATCTAACCGGCGCAGCACTTGCTTAAATTAAGGTGATCATGTGGCCTTCTAGTGAGCAATAGGGATGCCAACAACCAAAAAGAAAAGATAGGAAAGAAAAATGCTCACAAAATTATCACAATAGTTTCGTTTGTCATTTGTCAAGGCATAGTTAGTTAACTGTTGGATGTCTGTGGTTGTATTAGTTGCTATCTACCAGGCTATACACTGTACGAGGTCTAGTCCGTACTAGGAAGCCGACGCTCCCACGAGAACTAGTACCTTATGATAGAACAGCCCATAAAAGAGCTGGGCTTCTCGTCAAATGCTATATAATATACGCTTAATGGTTGTTAACAGAATCTGGTCCCGTACCCGTCCCTCCAAGCAACTTCCATAATAGCTTCCCTTCTGCCTCCGCAGCTTCTAGACTAGCGCAGCCAGCACCGTATTTCTGGCCTACACAACAAATCAGCCAGACATCATTCTTTAGCTGGTCTAGCAATCTCTCAGTAGGGCTTCCACGCGGGAATATGCGCCTCCATTCGTCCCAGATACGGAACGCTTCATCACCCCATGCACGAAAACTAACTTCTTCGATGATAGTCGGGGTGACAATTTCTTTACCTCTGAACACTCCCCACGTAACAGCAGTAACTCCAGTGTTACCCGGTGAGACATTAGAATCTAGGAAGACATCAACGGGCCCGGAAGAGTCCTCTGTGGTGGCATCCGTGGCAGGAGAAGACGACATGAAGTCACCAGCAGCATTAGTTGCGAACCACGCAAACTCATCGTGGCTGTGGCTTTCAAATATTGGTTTCAAAATCGATTCGAAGTCATGGGCCGGGCAGAAGAACTCGACAAACGCCTTCTGGAAAACGAAGCCCTCACCGCGAGGACCCCAGCCGAAAATCGGATGGTCATTGCGCACCCCATTCACTGCCGGCTGGGACGCGAGCGTCCACCACCCACGTCCATTTATGAGCTGAAGAAGCTCATCGCGAATAGTGGCAGTCTCTGCATTCAGGCCACCAGTATCTTGCGCTCCGCCTTCTGACCAGGGTACTAGGTGAAGCTCGCCCGACACATGGCGTTGGAAGATGTTATTAATGTCTTGTTTCGTTGTTGGATATCCCCAGAGTCGTCGTGCGACGGCAGCATTGACATGTAGGGAGGGGCCATATCCATCGATTTCTCCGAATGCAGGGGATCGCGCGTCACCCCACCGACCATTTGGGAAGTCATCCCAGGTCGCCTCGCGCCCCAGCGCACCTACCCCCTCCGATATCTGCAGTGTGGTTGTTCGTGGAGGGGGATTAAGGGCCGGCATGCCAGCACCAAGAGCAGGAGTTTCGTGGGTAGTAGATGCTTGGGAGGAACCCCCTGCGTCCGAAGGTCGATCAACGATCAATCGGTTATGAGGTTGGGAATTCATAGAGGAAGCCCTCCTTTTCGATAACAGGGAAATACCGTTCTGCTTGCCTTGCGCCATAAAAACCGCAGTGTCCATGTATGTTTCTGAATCGCTGGGGAGAGGTGATAACGGCGGTATTAGGTTACACTTCTCGACGGTCAAGGCAACTGCTTTCTCTAAATTAAGGGTGTAGAAATGGAATCCACGTGGACCAGGGTAGGAAACCTGCTTCAATCCATTCACAATCTCACACAAAATATCCACCCCGATTCGCTTCACCTCTTCATCGTCTGACTTTACTGCTTCAACTCGCGCCATTATATCAGGAGGGACTCTTGCATGGCTTAGTTTCGTCGTCCTAGTTAGAATATGATAGCTCTGTATGGGCATTAAACCGGTAATGATAGGAATAGTTTCGAAGACGCCAGATTCGTGATTGCGCAGCATTTCCTCAAACCGTTTGTATGCTCCCAGGTCGTAAGTAAGTTGAGTCATGATAAAGTCCGCTCCGGCCCTTGTTTTTTCGATAAGGTATGGGAGGTCTTTGACAGGGTCTTGCACTTCAGGGTATGACTCGTCTGAATGCCCTTCTGGATATGCTGCCACCCCGATGCAAAAGTAATCACCATGTGTGCGGCGGATGTACTTCACCAAATCAACTGCCCACGTAAAATCCTTATTGCTGTCATCTTCGCCATCAATATTGTACTCTTCGCTTCGCGGGGGATCACCACGCAACGCAAGGATGTTCCTGATGCCCAATGCTTTGGCTTCTGAGAGCGCATGGTCTACCAGTGTCCTGTTCATATTTGTACATGTCAAATGCAAGCAAGTGGTCAAACCTAATTGACGTTGACATATCTCGGCGAGCTCGAGGGATTTAGCCGCAGTGCTTCCACCAGCACCCCAAGTAACGGTTACGAAAAGCGGTCGCAGAGCTTGCGACATGCGCTCCAGACGGGCTTGGAGATTTGAGGAGCCCTGTAAACACGGATTGATCAGTCTGGTGAAACAACGTGGGATATAAGCGGGAGTGGCGGGGTAAATTTCAGCTTCAACGGGAACGCACCATCTGGGTTTTTGGAGGGAAAAACTCCAGAGAGAAATAGTTCGCATCTGGGGGGAGATTCGCTATTTTATCTGATATTTTCTCCATGATTGTTGTTGTCGTTATGGTGGTGGTGGTGTTTTGCGCTCTGGTGAGCCTTATGGCGAAGAACCGCAAGTTGCCTGTTGTGACGATATTGAATAACAGCCCCGCTTGGTTCACTATTAGCGGCTGCTCAGGCAAAGCAAGTCCGAAGCATCACCACTTCCAGTCAGTGTGGGATGCATGTTCGCTTCAAGCCAAATGATCGCATATGCTCTATAAATTCTGCAGATGCACAATTCGAAACGATACTGAGGAAAAGAGCTACTATCCCCACTACCTGAGACCACTGCTAGTATCTATTCGTCAATACGGGATCAGAACAACTACACTTTCTTTCTAGATTCTTCCGTCTAGGATTTGCTGGCTAGTTCATGAGACGCCCCCTCTATAACTCAAGGTGGCGAGTTGAAACGATAATAAAATCCGACTGTTCAATTTCATATCAATTTCATTTTCGGATTATGATGCAAATGTAAACCCTCAACCATATGTTGAGTGCATAGAGCTCCTCAAGCTACATACAGAGCTCAATCGCTAGAAGACCATGTGGAACAAATAAACTTGCTTTGATGGTTGATTTCCAGCCATTCAGCGACCAGAAGATTACGATCCTAAACCTGTCCATCAGAAGAAATGCGGCGTGGCACATTGATAAAGTTAGTAAAAATATGGAGTTGGATGAAAAATGGAAACCGAGTCAAATCTGGTTCGTATGGAACAGCACAAAGACCTTGGATACATTGTGGCCAATCAAAATCAATGATGGCAGCCATTTCACACCGCACATTAACTGAACGAACAGATCACCGTCGGTTTTGCTTTCTGTTTCTTTGTTCTACCGTGCAGCTTAGGCGAGAGTAGATGACGTATTCATCACAAAGCGTGGTGGGGAGTTCGTGATAGGTGAAGGTTGTCCATAGTCCAGGCTGGTATCATGAGAGACGAAATTATTCATATTTGGAGGCGTATCCATCTGATAGGAGATATGTTTCAACGAACGCTTCCAACTACTTACATGTTTACTCGATGTAAGGTGCCGCTGGGATTTCCTGATCACCCATCTGTATTGTCCATCTGAGTCCCTACGTCCGTTGATTGAAAGGAACATATGCGGATTCTGATTGGCACGAGCTGCTTTGATTTTGGTCCAAATTGATACACCAAGCGAGGCGCATTATCGTATCTCGCCGCTCTATTATCACCTTGGTGCGTTTGGAACCCAGCTGATAAAAAGGAGAATATCTTCTCAAAGCAACCCTTAACAGCTTTCGACGAAACAGGTTCCAAACCCCCCGTCACAGACCTTTCTCCGCAACATGACAATGGACAACTCAAACGCCAAGTCCAAGTACGCACACTTTGCCACACCTCACCCGGTTTTCGAATCGTTAAAAGATGAGGCTTCCAAGCTCGTTGAGAATTTATATGCCATCGAGGATATGGAAAAATTCAAGGCTGCATGGGATGCATTCCCACCTGCGGTTTTCGACGATGGCCCCGTTGTGGGCAAGGATATAACGATTGAGCATATGAATATCCCAGTGAGGGATGGTGCCAAGGTGGAACTCAGGATCTATAAGCCGATAAATCCAACCCCACGAGCATCCTTATTCTTTGTCGCACATGGGGGAGGTAAGTCGCATGGGATTGCTGTTTTACTTATATCAGTAGAGGTGGAAACCATTAGTTGACAGTAATCTATAGGATGGACAATATTCACACATGACGCTGAAGAAGCACAGAATAGGCAGGTGGCCAGGGACAACAAGTTGGTTGTCGTGAGTGTGGAGTACCGAAAGTGCCCGGAATTCCCATTCCCCTATCCTTTGGATGACTGCTTTGACGCGCTAATTTGGGTATGTAGAAGCTTTTGAATTGCGTGCCCTCTGACGGAACATGCCAGCTCACAATCGTTTGGATAGTGTAAATCGAATGCTGTCAACCTTGGCATCAACCCTGAAAGGATTTATTTGGCAGGCTCCACCAGTGGAGCAAACCTTGTAAGTATTGTCCAACTCAATGCTAAATCAAAATGGTAACAACTTGAAAGGCCGCATCCCTTGCATTGAAACTTCGAGATGAAGGGATTACCGGAGTATCTGGCCAAGTCCTCAATATGCCAATGATCTGTCACCCCGACTTCTTTCCTCGGGATAAATACGAATATAACAGCTGGGACGAGAATAACGAAGATGCCGCCACTTCGTCCTCGAGGGCTTTGTTCCACTGGAATCTATATCTCCCAAAAGGGAAACCAGAGGTCTATGCCAATCCAATACTAGCTGAAAGCCATGCAAACCTCCCCCCAGCTCGTAAGCAGAAGAATCAAGCAGAAAAACATCCCTATTCACCCAGAAACCACGAATGCGAAGCATACTCAACTAATAAATGTGATAGTCATCCAGATTGCCGGGTTTGACCCGCTCCGCGATGAGGGTTTTGCGTATGGTGAGGCCCTCAGGGCCGCCGGCGTCCCAGTGACTGAAAAAGTATTTGCGGGTCTTCCACACGCATTTTACTTTTTCCTCAAGGCACTCGACAAGGAGTCCAGAGAGTATTTCCAGAACATTGTCGATTATGTAAATGATATCGAAAAGAAATCGATTCCTATTTGATACATGGGATTAGACAGCTTCGAGCACCAGTAGTCTTGTAATAGAGGAGAGGAGTTCACCCTCTGCGAACTTTTAGCCTGAAAATTTCCCCGCATTCAATTTACGAAGTTCAATTGAAAGATATATAACTTTGTTAAGTGGGTTTTTAGGTGCGATTAGAGAGGAGGAGAATGTATGAAGAGGGGATACCCAATAATCACATGATTCGCTGGCATGATGCAAACTGAACAAACATTGTATTTTTGTCCAAATATCAAACCTCAATTCCTTCATTTAACTATCGCAAGCACCATAAACACCATAGCTCCCCAGTAGTTCGTTTTAGCATGGAGCTTTTATACTACCCAATACACGAGCCCACCCACTTTTAATGAGCCACCTAACATCTGAGAAAACCACCTCTAGTATAGTGGAATATGAGGGATCGTTGATAAAACAAATCGAAATAATAAAACAAAGAAATGTATCTCCACCGTCAACCACTATCAACTACACCCCTTCGTCCATCCATCCGTCCCAGCTCCCTCCATAAATTCCCTCTTCGCCAATCATTCTCCACTCCTCCAGTATCTCCTCCGCCATCCAACCCCAACTCCTCCCGCCTCCGCACCAGGCTCCATAACTTCAACAACCGCCTCCCCCGCTTCCTCAGATCCTACACCACCCCGCTCCTCAGTGCCCCCGTAACACACATTACCTCATTCCTAATCTTACACGAGATCACCGCCGTAGTACCGCTTATAGGACTGACGGGTGCATTCCATTACTGTGGCTGGATTCCGGCGCTGAGAAATGGGGCAGTGGATGAGGGGGTGAAAAGGTTCGGGAGGTGGTTGAGAACGAAAGGATGGGTTGCCGGCGAGGCGGAAGTGCGGGCGGAGGCAATGGTGGAGGGGGAGATGGGTATGGGGGCAAAGAGTAGTTTGGCTGGAAATATAGATGCGGATAAAGGGGTGCGGCTGATACTGGAGTTTGCGACCGCATACGCAATTACGAAGGCGATGATGCCTGTGAGGATTGTGCTTAGCGTCTGGGCTACACCGTGGTTTGCGAGGGTTGTGCTTGGGCCTCTGGGGAGGGGAGTCGGGATGGTGTTTGGTAGAAAGACTTAGACCTATATTCTATTTTCTATTAATGGACTTGATTATGGCTGTGACGTGACATGTATATACATTTGTGAATGGATATGTATGAGGGATGCTCGTGTTGTGAAATATCAACAAACAGTAAGATTTTTTTCTTTTTTCTTCAGATCTCGATATTCTTCCGAATTACTTTTCCTTATTGTCATTAACTTATGTCATACTAGGGCGTGGTGCGCTAAGTGATAGCTCTACTCATAGATCCAGTTGGCCTGGCTTTGCTGGTACTGAACGAGTTCCTCAGGTTTGAACCACAGTGCGATTTCCTTCTTTGCGTTCTCGACACTGTCAGAGCCGTGGCAGACGTTGCGACCGACGTCCTATGTAAATTGGTTAGAGCCGTAATCAACGCCCAGGATGGCAAAGGCTCCTGGTTACTTACAATGGCGAAGTCACCGCGGATGGTGCCGGGGGCAGATGCGAGGGGGTTAGTGGCACCAAGGATGGCTGTTATTTGATGGAGAAAGTTAGATCGGGGTCGGTCAGACAAGGGACGAAGGAATATACATACCACGACCTGTCTTGACGGCATCGCGGCCCTCCCAGACCATGGCGCAGATAGGTCCGCTCAGCATATCTAAGGTACATCAGCATCCAACATGAATTGTACCTTTGTAGGAATAACGGGGCTACGAACAGGTAACAAGGCCTTTGAAGAAAGGTTTGCTAGAGAGATCCTCATAGTGCTTCTCGAGGTGTTCCTTCGAAGGGGTGACGAGCTTGATGGCAGCAAGTTTGTACCTATGGCCGTCAGAATCGTTTGGGCTTGGTTTGCTCCACAACAGCAATCTCCGACACTCACCCCCGGCTCTCGAAGCGACTAATGATGGGACCGACGAGCCCGCGCTAGAAAAGGGAATGTTAGCCCCGAGCGATAGAACTGGTTCTCGCGATATAAGAGTATGTATAAATGTTGCTTTCTTTGCCGCTCATACCTGGACACCGTCGGGCTTGATAGCAATGAAACTGGAGAGGTTACAAAGGTTTGTTAGCCAATGGGAAAACAAGGAAATATGCCAGAGAAGGATAACGCACGTTTGTTCGGAGGCAGACATGCTGACAGAGTAGAAGTATCAAAAAACTAGATATAGAGATATATTTCTGTTCAATGGCTGAAATGGCCGAGTGAGGGGTGAGAAATGAATTTTGTGTTGTCGGCGGGGCAAATTATTTTTGATGGTTTACGGCGGGGGTCAAGCCATAGCAAGTTTAGCCGGCACATGCCAAACAGGCATCTCGAGACGAGTTGGCACTATTCGGCGTCTCGCGACTAGCCTGTGACTAGCCTGTGACAACAACAGCAGCGGCTTGCAATTGGGATCATAGAGCGCTCCTGGCAGTCCATAATTTGATACCGGGGTAACTGTCTGTTGTTTTGTTGTGGAGGAGAACCTAATTATCCATGAACCTTCCCCAGTTCTTTGCGTTTTAAACCTGTTGGTGGCCTGGTTTCACTGTTTTTAAGAACAAGCATCTATCCCTCATGGCGGCGTTCAGGCTTTTGTCCACCGGTTGGACCCTGTTCCTGGCCATCTTAACTATTCTCTCATGCCTGGTTGTTCCTGGAGGTACGTGAATATTGTGTCACAAAATTAATCAGGCTTGGTTTCTAACAATACCTCATCTCTAAAATCCAGAGATGGTCAAGCATGGGAACTTCAAGACATGTTCACAATCCGGTTTCTGCGCGCGGAATAGAGCTTATGCAGATACTGTTTCGAATCAAGGCTCGTCGTGGTCTGCCCCGTATCGCCTTGAATCGAACTCTATTAAATTTGCGGGAGGCCAGTTGTTGGGAACCATCGTTAAGACTGCTGAGAACAACGAGAATGTTAAACTGCCTCTCACTGTATCGTTTCTTACGTCAGGAGTGGCTCGTGTCACAGTAGATGAAGAGAAACGGATAAAAGGAAAAATACAATTACGGCACGACAGGAAAATAAGGAAAGAACGTTATAATGAGGCTGCAAAATGGGCCATTGTAGGTGGTTTGGAGTTGAGCTCCTCCGCCGAAATTGTTGAGGGAACGGAGGCAGGAATTACAAAAGTCGCTTATGGCCCAAACAAGAAGTTTCATGCTATCATTCGGCACTCCCCATTTGAAGTACACTTCCAAAGGGATGGCGAAACACATATCAAATTCAATGACAAGGGGCTTCTGAACGTGGAACATTGGAGGCCAAAGGTTGAGAAACCGAAAGGGGACGACAATGAGCCAGAATCACAAACTACTGTGGATGAAGCCACCTGGTGGGAGGAATCGTTTGGTGGTAATGTCGATTCGAAACCGAGAGGCCCAGAAAGTGTTGGCTTGGATATCACTTTTTCTGGATACAGCCATGTATTTGGTATCCCAGAGCATGCCGACTCTCTCTCCCTGAAAGAAACCAGGTAAGTGTTCTTCTAATAAATTCAATGTAGCGTCCTACTAATTGTAAAATCAAGGGGCGGGGACGGGCAGCACACCGAACCTTACCGTTTGTACAACAGCGATGTGTTCGAATATGAGTTGAATAGCCCAATGACGCTTTATGGTTCCATTCCATTTATGCAGGCACACCGTAAAGGATCCACAGTTGGCGTGCTATGGTTGAATGCTGCGGAGACATGGGTCGACATAGTCAAGACCAAGGATTCAACCAACCCTCTCGCTCTAGGAGTCATTGGAAAAACCAACACACAAACGCATTGGTTTTCGGAAGCCGGACAGCTCGATATTTTTGTATTTTTAGGACCAACTCCCCAAGCAGTTAGCAAGTCGTATGGCGAACTTACCGGTTTCACCCAACTGCCCCAGCATTTTGCGATTGGATACCACCAGTGCCGCTGGAACTACGCTACCGATGAGGACGTCAGAGATGTCGATAGAAAATTCGACCTTTATCAAATTCCCTACGATGTCATCTGGCTCGACATTGAGTACACTGACCAGAAAAAATACTTTACGTGGGATCCGCTGACCTTCACGGACCCGAGTGGAATGCAAAAGCAGCTTGATGATTCAGGTCGCAAACTCGTTATAATCATCGACCCTCATATCAAAAACGATGCAAATTACCCTATTGTAGACGAGCTGAAATCGAAAGGATTAGCTGTGAATGACAAGGATGGGAACATATATGATGGTTGGTGTTGGCCTGGATCATCCCACTGGATTGATTGCTTTAATCCAGCTGCTGTATCGTGGTGGACTACGCTCTTTAAATACGACAAATTCAAGGGAACCAGTTCTAACGTGTTCCTTTGGAACGATATGAACGAGCCGTCCGTTTTTAATGGCCCAGAGACGACGATGCCCAAAGACAATATTCACTATGGGGGTTGGGAGCATCGTGACTTGCACAACCTCAATGGCATGACGTTCATCAACGCTACTTACAATGCCCTGTTGGAACGCAAGAAGGGCGAGCTGCGCAGACCATTTGTCCTGACACGGTCCTTTTATGCAGGGTCACAGCGGTTGGGAGCCATGTGGACCGGCGATAATCAGGCAAGCTGGGATCACCTTGCTGCATCCCTTCCCATGGTCCTCAACAACGGCATTGCCGGATTCCCATTCGCTGGAGCCGATGTTGGTGGCTTCTTTGGAAACCCAGACAAAGAGTTACTAACAAGATGGTACCAAACCGGAATCTTCTATCCGTTCTTCCGTGCCCATGCACACATCGACACCCGTAGACGTGAACCATATTTGGCTGGAGAGCCATACATGAGCATCATCACCCAAGCCATACACCTGAGATACCAGCTCTTGCCTGCGTGGTACACTGCTTTCCACCAGGCTTCCATTGACGGCACCCCAATTGTCCAACCTCAATATTATGTTCACCCTGAAGATGATGCTGGCTTTGCGATCGACGACCAATTGTATTTGGGATCCACCGGATTGCTTGCTAAGCCAATTGTGACGGAGGGCGCCACCAGCACAGATATTTTTCTTGCCGATGATGAAAAATACTACGATTATTTCGACTATACAGTCTACCAGGGTGCCGGGAAGAGACACATTGTTGAAGCGCCACTGGATAAGATTCCTCTCTTGATGCAAGGCGGCCATATCATCCCCCGCAAAGATCGACCCCGTAGAAGTAGTCAACTCATGAAATGGGACCCGTACACGCTTCTCGTCGTCTTGGACAAAAACGAGCAGGCGGAGGGAACTCTGTACATTGATGACGGTGAGACATTCGACTACCAAGATGGCGCCTCCATCCACCGGCGCTTCACTTTCTCCGAGTCATCGTTGTCATCAACGGACATCGGAACCCAGGGCACCAAAACTGCGCAGTATCTGAAGGCCATGGCAGGTGTGCGTGTAGAGAAAATCATCATTGTGGGTGCTCCAGATGCATGGGCGAGCAAGCCAAATGTTCTCGTTTTTGAGGAAGGGTCAAAGACGGGATCCCAGGCAAGCTTGCAGTGGCATGCAAAGCAGGAGGGCAAGGCCGCCCATGCTGTGGTTAAAAACCCAGGCGTGTCTATTGGAAACTTGTGGAGGATTGATTTCTCTTAAGCTATTTGTTCCACCTAGGTTCTCATGTATCATGATAAAATTTCGTGCCGTACAGTTCTAATCATACTGTCGATCCTGGTCGGCTCTCCGTTTTATTTCATCGTAATGGCGATATTTGTATAGATTTTTATTTTTATTTTTTATTTTTTTAATATTCGTTTTTATTCTTTATATTATTATATTTCCACTATTTCCCCTTACCAATTGTATCCAACCCAGCGTTATTCCCTACGAAACTAAGCAAATTAAACCGCTGTGGATTATTTATGATTAGCATGCCAGCCGCATCTCATGTTATGCTTCATGTCGCCGAGATTCGAAGAGTCACAGCACGTAGAATTGACTTAAAAGGATAATCTCACACAGCACTATGATCAATGAGGAAACCCACCGATTCGCAGACCTTAAGCTAACTTTGCTTCGTTGCTCTTCATGTCTGCACGTCAGGTTTTCACATGGAGGAGCAATTTTATTTAGTAAGAACCAACTTCTGACTCCCCCCGGTGTGTTGTTGGGGCGATATCTCATTCACTTTGTCGGTTCGTGGTGGTAATTGCATGGCGTAGAGTCGATATCCGTCCTGTACCAGTACTGAGACATACTACAAAGAGGGTATATATATAATTTACGTTTTTATATATTATTTCTAAAACTTTCATTACCGCAGAAACTAACCTCAGCGAAGTGAAGCCTCTCTGGCCGGTGCTAAATAAAGAGACATTCATTCTGGGAGGGGATCAAGGAGTTGCTGTGATAGCAGTCGACACTGACCGGATTCATAAAGTAGATGTTATCGTTAGTTCAGCAAATACTTTTGTCACGGAAGCAAAGGACATTGTCTGGAAGGATCGGTATTAATCTCTTTAAAGGCCCCGCAGAAGCCCTCATCGTGACCGAGTAAAACGCGGATCCATTTACGTTTGTTAGCCGCACCTTTCACAATGAGCATGGTTCCAATTCTCTCGGCAATTATCGTCACACAGTCAAACGATTTGGCAAACCAGCCGATAGGATATGTTGAAAGGTTTCTAAAGAACCTTTCTAGTGGTTCAATTGCAAAAACATACACGGCACTCATCTGGAGAAGTTGGGAATGTAGCTGATGTCGACGAAGCATATTCTCCTGCTGATGAATATGCATTCTCACATGTACGGCTCTTCCCTGAGCAATCACAAGAAGTGCTAGCAGAAAGGAAACAAGGACAGCGCCAATTAATTGGGGAAAATAGCTACAATCGTGCAGACAAGGCATTCTCATAGCCTGTTTACCCTGGCATTGACGTAAGATGCATCACCTTGGGCGAGTGCAAATTAAAATGTGCATTGACAATTTGTTTAACACCAAGGTTATTTTAACAAATAATGTTCTCCCAACTCCTAGGTCGGCGGGTTGAACTGCTGCATGTCGAGAGGTTTAATCCCAGAAAGCTAGCGGAGAGTTGGTTGGCTATGCTGTAGGGCTGCAGGTGCTGCTCGCGCGATCTTCAAGCAAGCTAGAGTCTGCGATTCTGCGAAGGGTCAACATGATGGGATAGATCATAGCTTAGCAAGATCTAGGTCGAACCCGACGATGGCAACGCTGGATCGGCGAGACAGGAAATTATAAAAACCGATGCAGTTAGTTAACGGCAGAAGCTCACGCACAGATCGCTCCAATTTTCGCCTGCATGCAAGGCCCGCAAGTTTCATTGATGCTTTGAATCAAGATCATCAGCCGCTCTATGTGTAGCTAGGCAACCTCATATAGTTGAATCCCAAAACACGCGGGATAACACCACAATTAGAACCTATGGATGTCAGAAACCGAGAGTTGCTTATGGTTCCTGCGGATGATGTTGAGATAGTCAGAATGCTTGGCAGGGATGTGCAAGGTTACGTAATACTGCATATCCGGCTCTGAGGTTTCTACGGTTCCAACAACATAACATGTTGAGGGATAAGAACTGTCTGGACACCGCAATCATGGCCATATCGAGTCGGTAAATTCAACCAATCCACTCTCCTGGACCTGCCTGTCGCTGCAGTCAACCTCCTTTATAACGCTGTCTACGTGACCCGAATACGCAGAGACCAGACGCACTCACGGCAAGCGGATCTGGTCGGCACTCCCGAAACATTTTATCCTTGCATCATCAGCAGCATCAGCAGCATCAGCAGTTTTAGAGCCTATTACATTCGCTCCACAGCAATCTCGTGGGGTTGTATATCAGGCTCCATCCATTGGAGAACTCCCCCCAATTTCCTGGATAGCACCTCTATCCTTCGGCCGCCTTGTATCCGCAAGGAAATGAGAGCTTTTTCGTGAAACCTGCACCCATTGAGTCGCATTGCACCACGGCAGGCGACGGTGTTTGAAAGATCTACTACAATTTCAAACGACAAGCGCGAGGATTTTCAGTGACGGCAGAGGTTAAACAACAGAAATGACAATGTGGCTCACATCGCTCATTCTCAACTATGGGGCACCAGTGTTGTATGCACGTTATCAAGCACTTCAATGTTTTTCGGCAGATGCAGATTCTGACACAAGGTGATTCCGCAGCCTCGTACTCTCACCCTTAACGTCATATTCAGATCAAATATACAGCATACATAAGACGAAAAGCTCTGCTGGATTTTCGCTGGATATCCCCCTGATAATGCTCGTAGCCTCGATTTTAAAGTGCGTTCGCCTTCCCTTTTTAACTCCTTCCTTTCCCTTGGACCTTCCCAAAATGCTCCAACCAGCCACATCGGAATATCCGTATTTCATTTTTTCGTATCTAACAAACTGTCATTCCATTACCTCAGGGTGTTCTATTGGTTTGGCGCCCGCTACTCGAATGCGTTACTCTTCCAAGCAATCATCATGATTGGCGTACAGCTGGTTTTGTTAAAAGTGGCCTTAGATAATCGAGCATCAGCCGGAGTAAGAGACGGGATTGAACATGCGCCATTCAGCGGCCAAAAAGCAGGAGTCATTGGCATGAACTTTTCGAGACCGTATAACTTCTGGCAGTGGCGTGCCAACCGACCGTCGGTCTCCCTTACCTCTATGCTCTTTCCAAGTGCTCTCAACCTCGATTCTTGAACCGTTGATAGTCGTCCTCTTTGGTTTGGTTTTATTGCTAACATATGTGGCCCGGCAATATACAGATACTGGACATTTCTTTCCTACTTCGTCGTGTCTTTATTGGTCATCCATGTCGTTTTCCAGCCCATCTCGCGCTCGGAGCACTATGTTGCGCTCTTGGGCTTTGCCGGCCTCGGTGTTGAAGCTTTCCTTCCCGTACCACAGATAATATCCAACCAGCGCGCACAATCTTGCAAGGGTTTCCGGCTGTCTGTGCTCGGGTCATGGATTCTCGGAGACGCGATGAAGATGGGATATTTTTTCTTCACCGGCGATTCCGTTCCATGGGCTTTCAAGCTCTGTGGGATTTTGCAATGTTGCTGTGACTGCTATCTTGGAGTGCAATATTGGATGTTTGGGCATGGTGTTCCGGTGAAACACGATGCGGAGAGGGTTGCCTCCGCGAACGGTTTTGAACATGGAAATGATAGGTGGGATATGAAAGCTACGGATGTACGATTATCATAAATGGGCAAGTTACAAGGAACTGACTTGTGCATACCATTATCATTATATATTTTTGGCTTACCGGTTGATATGGTGGCATGATTGATACGTATTGCTAGACCTGATTTTCATTTTCCATATTTATCCATCCATTCCATTTTATATAATGTTGATCGATTTTAGACTAATATCTAATTTAATTACCATTTCTTTTCTTGGTTATTTGACATCAAAAATCACCCTTTTTCATAAAGCATAAGTTGCGCCGAAAAGGATACTATGGCCATGTCGATGTTGAGATCGTTAGCAGCCTGCCTAGTATAAAAAGACATTCGGAGCCATTCTCATAATCTTGAAATGCAATTTTCATCGTAATATTCGTACATAGTAATTGATCTTCCAAAGTGGGGGAATCCGGGTATGTCCCTGGAAATTGTCAGCATAAATAACCAACCAACTCTAGGAACTTAGGTAATTGTGTGTGTGAGAGAAAATCTCCGCGATTGTTTTGCCGCGGTTTTCTTCACTCTTAATCGTGTTCCCCCGCATCATGGCAGGTTGATAATCTCCAACACAGTTCGTTCAACGGGGATATCAGGCGAAATGAAACCTCAACCGTCGACTTCTCCGCCAAAAAACCCCTCTCAAGTCATTCTACAACAATAATACCGAAATTCGTTAGTATACCCTCTCCAGGATCCGTGTAAATTGGATCCTATCATATTTGCTCAGCGTCCCGGTCTTTTCACGGATAATCGCCAGGCCCGCCTCTCATGGAATCACGTAAAGTCCTCAGGAATGGGATTAATTTCGCTGATTTTACGCATGCCAACATTCCCTTGCAGTATTTTCCTTGAGACTCAATCTTCGGTGCTCACAAGCTGGTGTTTCGTTCCACTTCAAGTTGGTTAACTACAGCGTATCTGACACTTGCCTAGCACCTTCAGTGGATTGGGTCGCGTTATTGGCAGCGGCAAAAGGGCAACTTATAGTTGGGGAAGAGTCCTCTGGCATTTCCTGTAAAGACTCACACATGCTACGTCCTCCAAAGGAGGAAGCCAAGTAGTGAGCGTTTTGCAGCGACGGAATTCCACCACATTGGAGCTTCAGCTAACAACATTGAGGTGAGGGAAACTATGGGAGAGGAGAGAAAGCAGCTCAGAAGAATGGATCCGGAGACAGTTTGATTTTTTTTAGCCCTCTCTTTTTTTGGTATTTTGTACTAAGACTACGTTGAATTGTCCAGCAATTGCCATCTCGGATTGCTGGCCATCGTCGTCAGCGTCATTTTGGTGGATATTGTTGAACAGTTTTAAGAGAAACCCAAGTCTCGGTGATGTGATAACTTTAGTATTTTTGGCAATTGATCTAAGAAAATAGATGTCGAGAAAGCGTGTGTAGAGTGTCTGTTGTATCTAACCGGAGTGAATAGGCAAATAAATGATAATGCACACGCTAAACTCATCCCAAAGTAAACCATCCAGAATAATTCGGAGATCTTGCAAAGGCTAATTAGGGTTAAGGCTAAGTTACTAGGTTCGAACCTTCTGGGCCGGGCCCCGCCCAATTGCCCCGCAGCTTAGTTCCCAAATCACGACTTCGCAAAACATGCCGACTAACACAAAGGTGCCCTACATTGGAAATCATGGCTTCACCGGAGACGACTATAAGGATTGGCTATGTGCCAGGTAAACTCCATTTGCCCATTTGGATTTTTGGAAGCTGCTTCAAATAATAGTCCAGCCAGTTCTAACATTATCCCAATGAGACGCAGAGCACTACTTGACCCCCCTCCACCTTGCTCTCAAGTCGGCTATTTCCTCTCTTCCATTCAAAGTGACTATCAAGCCGTTTCCGTCTGGGACGGGACATATGATAACCTCCCTCCGCGAAAATGAAATTGACATCGGTATCGGGCTGACTGAGGGCTGGGTAGCCGGGCTGGTAGGCAAGACGCAATTGGAAAGGGGTGACGTAGATGGAGGTTATAAAATGGTAGGGCAATGGGTGGAAACACCACTGAGATGGGCAATCGTGACAGGCAGAAATCGAAACGATGTTAACAGCGTGAACGACTTGAAAGGGTCCCGAGTGGGAGTGAGCCGATTAGGGAGGTAAGTACGGAAGTTATCGACTTATCATTTTACAAATCTCAGCTAAGGCCCAGTGCCACGGAATGCTGACAAAAGTACCCTTCGCAGTGGCTCTCACATCATGTCATTCGTTCTATCGCAACAGCAGAGCTGGCCGTCGGTTTCCTCGCCACTTACCCCTGTTATCCTAGGGCCTTTTCCTTCACTTCGGGATGGAGTTACCGGCCACAGCCCCGCATCCCAAGGTACCTCCCCTTCAGAACCGCCTGCTGATTTCTTCATGTGGGAAGAGTTCACTACGAAGCCATTTTTCCACCCATCGGAATCATCCCCGAGCCCACAACTGAAGAAGATTGGAGAAATATTCACGCCCTGGCCTTCATGGCACATTGCTGCTTCAACCTCCACGTTTCCTTCTCCAGCACAGGATGTGCGACTCTCCCAACTTTTCGAGGCATTGGACAGTGGCATTGCTGCCTTTGAGGCCGACAGAGAGCACGTGGTCAGGTTGTTGGGTACGGGGGACTTAGGTTGCAAATATAATGACGCTGATGCTAGGGAGTGGCTTAAGGATGTACGATTTGTGAAGGGTGGGACAAGAGGGGTTGATAATTCTGTGGTTGATGGGGTTATCAATATTCTCAAAGTCGCAGATGTCGTCCCCAAGAATATTGGAAATAAAGATGCTATTGAGAAAGTCGTGGGGATTTTTAAATAGGTAGGCGAGGTCTTTTATCCCCATGGTTTGAACTATGCATGCGTCACTGCATTTTCCCTGGAACTGCTTCTCTTGGCGTGTATGATTTCTTTTTTTTCTTTTTTTTCTTTTTTTTTTTTTCCTGGTCGATTAATTCTTGCATAAACTCCATACTGAGGCTGCAGCTTCCAGCCTATAATTCCTCCTAACTTCTTGTTCATTTCACTGCCATTTACAGAAAGCCTAAATGGCCGACATTGGCCACGACAAATTCGAAAGAGAACCTCTCGCCATCATAATTTCCAGGATTGCTTTCCAAGGGTGTCGAAAAAACAAACACGGGAAGTGAATGAAAAATGCAAGGGAAATGAAAAAAATCAAAAAACGGTTAGAAAATGATTATAGGAAGAGTGAAAGTGTGGAAATTGGGAAACGACAGAGCAAATAAACTGCCCCGTAACAGAAATAGAAGAAAAGGTGAAGTGCTATTAAAAGTCAAAACAAAGCTCAATTCTGTTCATGGCCTCAAGTTCGAAATATATAAAGCACCTGAAGCCTCGGTGTGGTAATTGTCACTCAAGTTGTTTTCGGCGTCCCCGTGGCCATTTGTATCGCCAAAGGGGTTTCCATTTAGGGAAGGTGAGGCAGGTGGTAAGGACACCCTATGGCGCTCATCTTCACCAGGTTCGTCATGGTAGCTGACGTCCGTGATAAGCCTACGCTGAAAACCATTGGCATGTGTGCCATGTGTATTTTCTGTATCTCCATTTGCCATGTAATAACATAGGTGGGGATAGCGGGTGGATAGACCGTATTGACGGGAGGATAGGATGAACTATTCAAAAATCAGCCACTGATAAGTAAATGCGATAGAATTCAGTTTGGTTATGGGAAATGAATCGCTCAACCACCGACTTTCATCACCAGGCTCAAGATTGCTGCCGTAAAAACCATAGTAGCGGCTTGTCTTTGTGCACTCCGCCATCCAGCAAAGCAACTCTGCGTATATCCAAAAGCGCTAGTGCAATCACGCTTATCAGAGGCACTTGGGAATGGCCATCCCCGATCGCGTGTACTTCTAAAACCACAGCACTGGAGACGATCCTGGATGGAGCGGATAGCGATGGCGTTTTTATGGGAGTAGAATGACTGCCATTGGTTTTCAAGACGACATCCAAGGATATCTTCTGGAGCAAAGTAGGAGATAGCAAAAGCTGCCAGGGCGGTTGGGATTATTGTAAGTAGCTGCTCCAGAATGATCGTAAATCTGCCAACTTCAATGGACCCCAGTGATGTAGTGTCTGATCGCCGGCTGCGAATGCGAGCGGCCAGATTGGTAGCCAACGGGATGAGAATGACAGCGGCAATTGGGAAAAACGTTGTCACTCCTGAAAGCGCAATAGGTAGCGGAAGGTAGTACTTGGAGGTACGGAACCATGAGTATCTACCACGGTGTTGTTTGTTAGTCAAGGTGCGGGAAAACTATGGAGGGAGGCAGCTGAAGAAAATCCATACGCGCTAAGAATTATTGCTACAAGGCCAGCCTAAAGAGCCACTTGATATTAACCACGTTAATCCGACTTTGGGAGGATGAACGTATGTTAAGTGCATACCAAACATCCTAAGATCAGGACTATTGCGGTTGATATTGACGCCATGTTTGCCTCTTCGATCAACAAAGCTAGTAGGTACTGCGCATTCCCCCACCCAATGAATGGAGCGAGTCTGCAGAGCGTCAAGTAAACGGATCCTTCGTTGACAAGCTTTGAATGCGTATTCGAATGAAGCTGAAGAAAAACAAGCAATATACTGCGTAGATGCTTTTGACCTTGAATCGTTGCTTCGTTGCTTCAACCCCACTAACGAGGCCTCCAGCCAAGCAAACAAACCTGCAGACAAGCAGGATTGCAGCCAATAAACATTGCTCTCGGCACGCCAGGCAGTTTCTCCTCTCAAAAGTTAAGTCAAAATTAAAATACAGAACGCCGCAAGGAAGCGCGAGATGTCCAGTGTCAGGCAATAAGTATTGGCAACTCCCACCACAGCCATAGTGCCTTTTTGGAGGCAGAAAAGCAGTGCGGTTTGCCAATATTTATGGCCGAATACAGTAGCTTCAGTGCTCTACTTGGTTTTGTGATAAAGTCCTGGCGACCTTCCCGCGGTACTTGTAAATCAACTTATTCATCTCACGGGCCAATATCGATTGCCCACAGTACTAGTCTGGGCTTCATCAATCGCCTTGGGCAGGTTGCACCAGGCAAGACTTCAAGTTAGCTCAGGTGGACAGATGAACAAAGCGGCCGCTACTGGTGTATGGTGCGTAGACATCCTTCGAAGGTGCAAATATTCACACTTGAGGAACACAAATAAGCTGCTTGCATAACAGAGTGCAGCGCAACAATAGAGCGACCCTTTTGCTGTGGCCTTCTGTATTGGGTTAACTTCACAGTATTGTGGCATTCAATGGTGTTCTTAGTTAGTGCTCAAGAAGGCGGAATAACTTTCTCCCGGCGAGGACTTTCAAACTTCCGCGTCGACCTCCGCAACAAGACCGAACGCAGTCAAGAAAGCCGCGGTCGACGAGAGCCACCTTCTCTACTCCGGGTACAATGGCTACTCCCAGCAGATACATGTCGTCTCTGACGAGAGGTGTCGTATCTGCGTTCCGACCTCCAATTCGACCCAGCTCAGCGGCCGTCCTGCCCTTCCTATGTCCTATACAGCAACAGGCAAGGAATGCCCAAACCAGAGCGAAGTCGAAAAAGAACACCACCAAGGCCAAGAAGAAGTACAAGACCTACATGCAACATAATATGAAAGAGGCGATTCAATTTACCCTTTGCGATGCGATGAGGTATGTTTATTCCACAGATCCCAATTGACCGGCTTCGTAAGAAGGACAGTTGAACGGACAACCATGCTAAATATTCAATCCGCAATTGCTTTTTTGCATCTCTAGGTGGATCCGAGCATTTGAAGTAGGAAGACCTCTTACGTCTGTCAAATACGAAATTCACGTCCGATTACGCTCGACCCGTGGCGGTGCGGTCATCCGCAACCAGGTCCGCCTTCCTCACTCCGTCCAACCACTCGCCCGCGTATGCGTGATCTGCCCTCCAGACTCGAAGGCCGCAAAGGAAGCTGCTTCAGTAGGTGCGGAAGTAATTGGGGAGGAGGAAGTTTTTGAACAAATCAAGAAGGATAACATCAATTTCGACCTGTGCATCTGCCACACGTCGAGTCTGGCGGCTATGAACAAAGCTGGGCTAGGGCGAATCCTCGGTCCCAAGGGCTTGATGCCCAGCGCCAAGCTGGGCACTGTGGTGGATAACATTGCGAAAACCGTGAAGAACATGCGCGGTGGGACCTCATACCGGGAAAGAATGGGTGTTGTTAGAGTGGCAATTGGGCAGTTGGGCTTCTCTCCTGATCAACTGAAGCAGAATATTGTCACGTTTATCTCGCAATTGAAAAAAGATGCGTCCATACTGGATGAGTCGTCGAAGGACGTACTGGAAGTAGTATGTATATCTAATCTCCGGATCAGCCTGTACACGATGCTAATAATGGGTGAAATAGGTGCTCAGCTCAACCAACTCGCCCGGCTTCAGTTTGAACGGGGACTTCAGAAGCCCGGATTCTCCGCCTGTCCATGCCCTGACGGGACATTGAATTATATTAAATTGTATAAATAGTTGTCTTCATTACCTGTTTTGAAATACATGACGTCCTATGGTATCCTTGATAAAATAATTATTAAAACCTCGCAAACTCCCAAAACTCCGTGATCATGCCAAACCCTCACTTGCCTCTTCTACAGGCAAAGTGGCGTTAGCGCCCTAAATCTCCAGCTTTTTCATAGCTGTTTCTGCGTCAAGATCATCCGTTTTCTCCCCGATAAGCTCATACAGGCGCATGGCAGCCTGTAATTTTTGTTCCCGGCTCTTCTCACATCGCTTCGCCTGCAGTACGCCAGTTTTCAAATCCAGTATCAATGCCATCCTTATTCGCTCCATTCTATTGTCTTGCTGGACGATGAAAGGGTGCTTCTCACCTATCCTCCCACACATCGCCTTGATATACAAGTACCTATGTATGTGCCGGCCCAGCCTAGACAATGACACCATCGGCACCCGGCCACTGCCACTGCCATTCCCACTTGCATTCCCGCCATCGCCATCGTCTCCCCCATCGCTTTCTTCTGTTTCACTTTCAATGATTCCATGCAACTCCTCATCATCGTCACCCTCACCGTCAACCCTTCCATCAGCACCGATCTCTCCTTTCCGCTTGTCCCGTTCGTCAACGATCATAAGTCTATCTTCCAACTCTCCGATACTCTCCTCAATGTCTAGCAGGTCATATGCAAGCATAACCTCTTTCCTCAAGCCCTTCTTTTCCTCCAACAGAGCAGAAATATCATCGATCCTCTTCTCAAACCCATCGCGTATACCCTTCACATCCCTTTGAAACGCCAGCAGGCCAACTCGAACCTGCTCAACCTTCTCTTCGCCACCCGTTAGTGCGCTGCCCAGAGATAAGAAATCCTGATAATTCTCATTGACGAGGTCAAGAAGCTCATTGTTCAAGGATTGACTAAGCTCGCGCAATTCCGTTTGCAGGTCGGAGAGGGTTTGGTGACGATTGGTTAGGGAGGAGAGGAAGGTGGCTGGGTCGAAGTTAGGGGAGACGAAGGAGGCCCGCGAGAGAGGTTTGGGGAAGGGGAGATTCGCGTCTGTGTAATTGGCATCATTGGTATCCGCGTCAGAGTCGTCAGAGTCGCCGAACTACCAGATATACATTAGGTCAGTCGTGGGATCCGTGGGGGGCAAACGGTGGAGGGAAGTGGACGAACGTAAAATCCGGCAGTCATTATTTCGATGACCCTTTTAGTTCCTCAACTTCAATCGGCAAAATCAGCTACAGAAATTGATCCATCATAAGAGATTAATATGCGAATGGAATGGGGTATCTCCAACAGAGCTCTTGACTATCGAGGCTTCGGGCCAACACGATGAGTCACGGCATAAAAATAATCCGATCCTTAGTTTCGGCTACCGACAATGTCTTAGTCAGCCCCTCCCCCGCCTTTCCTCTTTTGTCCTTCCCCAACGTCCAACCGCTAAGAATCGCAATGACAACTCATCTTCTGCATCTCGCCAGCTTTGTGGGTGTGGACAGGCGCTGGGTTGTCTGAAGCAGAAGCTTGAATGGATCCCGGTTTGTTATCTTCTGCCAGACCAATGTAGGTCTTATTGCCTGCTTGAATCCTCGTAACCTGGGGGGCCCCTCTTCCCCCTCCCCTTCCGCCAAAACCTAGCCAGCTGTTCGTCAGTTCGACCCCCCCAGGACATACGTTGCATGCTTTGATTGAAAATACTACTGTTTAGGCGGAGAAGTCCTGCAATATTCCAGGGCCTGCCCCTATCCATCCTGTCTACTATAATAGAGCTGCCCCTCCCATAAATACCCGCCGATATGGAGGCCAGGTCAGACAGCAGCAGCAAGAACAACAATACCCAGCGGCTTTGCTCGTCCCTCCCCCCAAACCTGTGGCATAATCATCCGTCCGCCAATTCTCGTGGGCGCAACCGCCTGTTCGACCCTCCACTAACCACCTCTTCTCCTCTTGATGAACCCATTCTTGCACGTCGCACTGCAGGATTGCGCCAACTGAATGGCCTCCCGCGTCAGTTTCAGCGCAGCCATAGGCATACTACTTCTATCTGTAGCAGATCATCTTTGCCCTCCCAGCCAGTGGTAGTTAGGACGTACTCTGCCGAAACTGATGCTCAGACACAGCCATCTGCCATGTCACGAGGTACCTCCGCTGCAAACAGACCACCTGCCCAGCTGCCACCCGTCCAGGACTTCGGCATTGACGGTATTCTCAGAGCAATTGAACCTGATATTCAAAGCACTTTTTTAAGGAGCAATCGCTGAAATATGCGGGCGAAGCAAACTGAGTCTTGCTAACGAATATGGAAGCCATCGCCCTCCCCTGGGGGAAATTCGCGCCTCGAGCAGATCAATGGATCATGGCCTGCTTCCCGTCGAGGAGGCCAGTTCGAGCAACGAAAGATTAATTGACCAAAACGTTGTCATTCTCGGTGACGATTCGAGTACAGTCGACGGACGTAATCCCTTCTCTTCAGCATATCGCTCATTTGTCAATGCCCCTGAAGACACTGGCCTGCTACCTTATGGACGGGCCATGCCCACCTGGGGTCAGGAAACATTTTCTCCACAAAATGCTATATCAGCAAGCCATACTTCATCTACTAGAACACGACCCCAGCCCCATCCCTCAAAACACACAAACGAAGCGAAACCGTCAAGACATAGTTTTGACTGGGCTTTACTGGGCAGAGAGACGAAACAGCGACAGCAACATCGACGCAGCATATCGACGCAGCCCGTGGTTTCTGAGGTCCACCTAGATGCCCAAGCAGACGGAACATATCTCTTGGATACATCATGGGAGTCCTACCATAGGGAAACTTCGGGGCCTACTGAAGGTTATTCAATGGACTTCCCTGTGAACGAATCTCTTCTTCGAATCCGAGCTGAAAGATTATCCTTCCTGGCTGATCTTCAAGGATGGCTGTCCTGGTTCACAAATATAGGTCACCGTCTAGATCAAGATAATGACTCTTCTTGTCAGACTGCTGAAATGAGACTGCGCGAGGTTCTACAACGTCAGGGAAATTACGTTTCTTCCGGCATTATGTCGGCTGACATTTCCTAGGATTGTTGTACCTTTTTTTATGATCCAAATATTTTCCCTTGGTGTTTCTATCGACGTGACGGACTGGAGTTATTCATTTTTCACTATACCCTCCATCAAGCTTTATCCGCTATCCATATTACATTTGAAGGGCGACTTCTTGATACCTAACGATTTTATGGTCTACCATATTCGCTCGTATTTCCATAGCTGGGAGACTCCCTTGTAATGAGTTTGTTTGAGCGTTGCTATTTCCTCATCGTTTATTCTCAATCTCCCAAAAATTGGTAGTCAAAGCATTCAATACATTGAACCTAAATTATTTATACCCAACTTGGAAGTTCTATCGCTTGTATGAATGATATTTCATTCCATCAAATATGCTTGCCTTTTCTATCTAACCATCGATCAAAGACTAGAAAATTCATGAGGTATATAAATGATCGCATACACTCGCTCGAAAATACACACCCAACAAAACTTTAACAAAGGAAACCATCACCGGTGTCCCTCCGCCTCTTCAATAACTGTTCTTGCAAACCCCTCAAAAAGCGGCCTGGACCAACACTTCTGATACCTTTCCACCAAAAATTCCTCACCCTCACTCCCATCAACCACCGCCTCCCTATTCCCCCTCACCCCTTCCACCATCTCTCCAAACCCCACATCAATCGGCACGGCCCCCAAAAACCTCACCCCCATCTCCTCCGCCATCACCCTGCCCCCACCACTAGAAAACACATTACTCACCTCCCCGCAGCACGGACATGAGTACCCAGACATATTCTCAACAACGCCAATGACGGGGATACACGTCTTGGCGCAGAAATTGAGTTCCTTGCGCACGTCTGCTGTCGAGATGGCCTGTGGGGTCGTGACGAGGACAGCGCCGGCTAGGAGGGGTTTCTTCCTTTGCTGTTGCTGTTGTTGTTGTTGTTCTTGTTGCTGCTGCTGGGCAGATGTGGCATCATGGCTTGTTGCTGTTCCGATGCGTGTAGTGGTCGCAAGTGTGAGCAATTGCTCCGCGAGCGCAATGTGCTCGTCGCTGGTTCCTGGCGGGGTGTCGACGAGTAGGTAGTCGGTTTCGCCCCATAGGACGTCTGTGAGGAATTGGCGGATCATTGCGGTCTTTTTGGGGCCGCGCCAGATTACAGCGTCGCCGCGGTCGCGGAGGAGGAAGCCAAGGGACATGCAGCGGAGGGAGCCGCGGGGTGCGGTGTCGGTTGGGCGTTTTTGGTCATTTTGTAGCTGGGGTTGGGTATTGGGTTGTGTATCTGTATCTGGATCCGGATCTGTATTTGTATCCGGCAGTGTCACAGAAGGCTGTGACGTGGTAGTGGTAGTAGTAGTAGTAATAGTAGTTGTTCTTTTATCTGTACCTGTACCGGTTGGTCCGCCGGTTCCCGTAGCGGCGGAGGTGGACGACTGAGGAGGTGGAGATGGTACGGAGGAATTGGAGGAGGAAGCTGCGAATGCGGGATGCACTAAAACCGGCGTCCAGCCGCCGGACCCTTGTGTAATTTTTGCATCTTCCTTTCCAACTAAGCGTGGTATTGAAGGCCCTGTCAGGTCGACGTCAAGAATGCCCACAGACCGGCCCTGAAGGGTTAGGGCTAGAGCAAGTTGTAAAGTTACGGATGATTTGCCGACGCCGCCTTTGCCGGATAAAACCTGTTGTTTTTTTAATTAAAGAAAAAATGGGAAACATATTAGTTATTTATCTGAGGAATTCGGTTGGGGAGTAATGGGGACACAGCTTTGTTTGCTTGTTGTTGCTGTTCGTTTATCGATAAGGGGAAAATGATACGTGCGGAGCACTGCGGAGGGGTGGGGGCCCTTTACCAACACGATGTTTTTGACACCGTCAAGTGCCATGATTCGTTAGCTACGGTTATATAGAACAGCAGGGACGACTGTCATCTGGGAATGTTTAGAACTGTTTTCATTGCTGTCGGTGGTGGTGTTGCTTTGATTGTATTCCATTTTTTTTTGGTCCAGGATTATCAAGCTTTGGGGTGGCGTCATTTCGCAGCACATCTCCACCTCCGCCACATATCAACAACAAACAGCACTAGTATCAGCAGCAGGAAACATGATAGCTTACATCAAATGACCACAATCACAGCTTCGACGATTGTTTTTCTGACGGAAGTTGCCTCGTTTTGTACAACTCACAAGCCGTTTCTACATTTTATCGTTCTATCTATGGTCATCAAACCTCGCTCCCTGTTTATTCCCGTCACATCCACCTGTCCCATTGCAGTGGATATTCAAACCCACCAACAAAAACAATGTCAAAGCAAAAATGCGGATCATTCTTCAGATTCATATCACATCAAGATTATAAATGCTCACGTCCATTTCTGTACCACAACACCCCCACGCTTGTACTCCTTGAGCTCTCCTATGACCGCATTTTTATCAGTCAGCTCCGTGCTAGGAAATGTGGTCATCAACACCCACGGCCGTTGCTGGCTGGCAGGACTCGCAGCGGCCACAAACGAGTATACATCACCGATTGTATTTGTTGTGTTAAACCGGGTGCTTAACCGCGTTCCATCTCCCAACCGTATTTGAAATGTAACCGTAGGCTGCGACTCATCTACTTTCGGATCTGCTAGTCCTGCGGGGTCTTCCGCTGCTGATTCGGACACAAGGTTAGTAGAATGGGTCCCTGGACCGGGGGTTGGGCTACCAAGTCGCTGTCCGCTTCCAGAGAACGGTTTGTATTTTGGTTTTGGCTTCACGTATTTTTCATCATGTTGCTTTATCTCCACGTCAACCTCTTGTCCAGCCTGTACGTTCATTATCGAGAGTGGTGCACGCCCTTGTCGGATACCATTCAATATCTCCTGGTTTCTGGGGTCATCGGATCTGTAGAGGTCGCCGTCATCCACAGAAAATCCATCTGCCCAAAAATGAAGCGTTCGACTAACTCGGGGGGATCGTTGTGGGTGATTCGCATTTGGGTCTGGAATGAATTGGCTTGGCGTATCGTCGCCTCCCAGAGTACGAGCGGCTCCGGTGAAATAAGATCTTCTAGGATTACTTTCGTCGGCTGGTCTTGGTGCAGCCCTGATGTGGGAGACACGTTAGTCGCGACACAGCTGTTGAAATGTGAGTGTGAACGGCAAGCTTCTCACCTTTTCGCCTTCTCGATAATCTTCTGCTTGATATCATCGGGGTTCTGGACAGCCAGTCCTGATTTTTCACCTCCAGCAAACATATCTTGCCCCTCATCACTGTCGTCATCACTATGATCATGAGCCCTGGCATCACCTGAGCTTAGATCGCCGAGCGTTGCGAACTTCTTCCTGGGAGCTCTCCGCACATTGGGTTCGGATGAGGGAGGAGGCGCTGTGCCGCCAAGAGTTCGGCCGCCTGAAGACTGTGCTGGCTCATCATCAGACTCCAAGTCGTCTCGCATGTTATCGTCCTGCTCAGGATAGTAATCCGCGAGTGCATCATGTATGTCCCAGTTATTTGTTGCTAGGTATTCTCTGGCCTGGTCGAACGATACGAAATGAGTAGGCGCATCATTGAATGCATCTGTCACTTGCCACACGAACGGTTCGCTTACCTCCGCAGGGGAAATACCCGTAACACCACAGAGCTGGGAGATCAAATCGTCCTGCTCCGCCTGAGGAGGGGCGTTCATGTTAAATATGAGCAAACACTCCGCTGCTCGCCCAGGAAATTAAGATAGAGCTAAACAAGAGAAACGCGCTCAAAATACGGATAGCGTTTAGGCACAGGAAACAGAATTGAGCAGAATGAGACGAGGGTGCGAGAAGATGAACGTATTGCTGCATTGCTGTCGAGCTTCAAGAGAGGGCAACAGAAGTCTGCTGACCTAAGCAAGACGTCACGGTTGCCTGGCCAAGGGTTACGTACAGTTCAACTGCGAAATTCTGAAGAAATTCCGCAAAATGAAGAAAATACAGCTTAAAATTTCTAATTTTGAATCAGAAACATATTATTATTGGAGTGCCTTGGCAGTTACTTAGGGTTGAATTGAATTGAATTGAATTGAATCTATCACCTTTGTTAACTAGCATATCTCTCAGTCAGGTGACTTGGAATTGGTTTTAAGGTTCCTCTTTAGATCGTTGTCGATGGTGATCAAGATATATCGTTCATCGGAGACCATATACACATTACACTTCGCACACTTGCGGGCCGCTTGCCATTCCCACCGTTTGCTTATGCTGTGTCGTCCCCGACGTTTGCCAAACAGCGCTGGACTCCGGCCATTCCTCCACCGGACTCACAATTCACATAGTATCCATCTCCAACAATGGCGTCCGGAGATGACTCGCAATCGCGGATAGCACTATACGATTCAGCTCTAACTCTGCCCTCTGACTCAGAGAACTACTCAGCAAACAACGAGCTGTCTTTATCACCCCAGTCCTCTTCCAGTTCTCCTATCATCCTCTACAAGCCGCCGACATTCTGGGGTTTCCTACGAAGCATGGCTATCAATCTTGTCCTCCCGTTTGTCAATGGCTTGATGCTGGGATTTGGTGAATTGCTGGCTCATGAGGCTGCATTCAGGCTAGGGTGGTCTGGTACAAAGGTAAGACCTTCCGTGTGTCGTTGGGATTTATTCTATTATTGGGAAGCGACCAGGGATAGCCGAACGGCTAGAGGACATTTTGTTCGAGAGATACGCCTCCTTCGGATTGAGTGCTAAGATGTCCCATCACTGATTAGATATTTCCCACTCATCGACGATCGCATCCGCTTGGGCCTGGTATTGAAGTCCGCGAAGCCCCGCGTGAGACGCGGTCACGAAGTAGGTTTGATCGAGGTTCGATGGCCTCGATGGCCTCGATAGAGTAGGGCCGCATAAAATTCATTTGGCTATAGAATGGGAGCGCATTTCATCCCTCCAGTGATGTTGGGATTTGCTCTGTACACTCTGTCATCCTTTTATTGATAGTTTATTGTACTGTATCATGCTATCTAATTCAAAATCTGGGATTGGTGAATGGCGTCTAAGAAGTTCCTATTGCTGGTTGTTTCAATAATTATAGTAGCTAACTGCAAAATTGTTGTATGCATGTACACTCTATGTTTCTTCTTTCAACCCGAGGCAACAGAGCGAACATAACGTAGAAATAGTAAACCAACAGTTACTGTAGATAAGCTCTCCTAGAACATACATCTCGCCGTGGTGCGGAGTGATATTCATGGGTGGTTTTGCGGAGTCGGCAAACCCTATTCCATAAAACGTCAAAACGCAGACTTTCGGAGCCTCATCAAATTTTTTTGGCCGACTTCGACCCTCAACCACGAAACACTCAACGGCCTAACAGCACGCCTACAACGCCAGAGTCGCATTACACGGCTCCCATAATTTTATACTATGCTGGTCAAGGCAGCCGTCAGGCCGTGGGTCGCTGTGTCTGGTGGGTCAAAACGGACATTGGACTTTTCATACCACTCCTGCCGTTCGGTCAGTGTCTCCCCCAAAAGTATTCACTGCATCTGCATCGCAAATGCGACAGCTAAATTTACTAACTACCTTACATCTTTTAGCTCTCCACATTTACACTACCAAAGAAGTCGTTTCAATTGCGATCGCGGCCCCCGATACAAAATGCCTCTGGCTTAATAAGGATATCACCATGGAGCCCTGTTCTCCTTCAATCCGCCGGGCCATCATCCGCTCGTTTCAATTCCACAGCGACGACACCTATGCCACCAAGTGACCCTGCCGCATCTGTACCTGCGGACTCCGTCTTAGATGCGCCGATATCTGGCGGTGCCCAGTCAATTGACTTGCTTTCTGCCGCGGACCTTGCAAACGTGGACATTTCCCAAATTCCTGAAAAGCTAGGCTACCTAAAAGCAGTCGGCTTAGATTATGGATGGGGCCCTTCACGGGTAATAGAAACCATACTGGAATCATTCCATATTTACGGTGGGCTTCCATGGTGGGGTGCTGCGATAGGTACTGCGGTGTTCCTGCGTGTCCTAGTGTTGAAATTTGCCATGGATGCGTCCGATACCTCAGCCAAGGTAGCCAGTGTGAAACACCTAACTCAACCACTCCAAGAGGAGGTCCAACGGTGCTATAGAGAAAATGACACCGTTGGCATGCAGCGTGCGCAGCAGGAGCGGAAAATTATCAATGAAACACACAATATAAAACTCTTGAAATTGGCCTTTCCCTTGGTGCAGGTTCCACTCAGTTTCGGCGCCTTCAGAGTTTTGCGGGGCATGTCTGCATTGCCAGTGCCTGGATTGGATTCAGAGAGTTTCCTTTGGCTTCATAATGTGACACTGCATGATCCCTACTTCATTCTCCCCATAGCAACCGGAATTGTAATGCATTATACTTTCAAGGTTCGTTCATCCGCCATAACCCTACACTCCCCCACCTACCACATTGCACTCTCCCTTTCTCCATCCCTCCCTCTATTCAGTGTTCTAATGGTCTTAATCAGCTTGGTGGTGAAACCGCTGGTGCAAATGACCCTACCACGATGATGGCCAAACCAATTATGCTCTACGGTTTGCCAGTCTTATCGGCCATTTGCACATCATTCCTACCAGGGATCCTCCAAATGTTCTTTGCTACAACGTCAGTACTAGCGATAGGCCAATCCTACGCGTTCCGAAACTCTTCGTTCCGATCCATGACCGGAATGGCGCCGTTCCCCAGTCGCCCTGTCACTCCCGGCGTTACTGAGCCAAAAGTGCGTATCCTCGAAGCTCGAGCAAATAACTCTGAACAATCCCCTACCCATATCGAGACCGTGCCAAAAGCCAGCTTCATTGACCGATTCCTTTCCAGCTTCCAAAAGTCCATTAAAAGTACCCGTAAGAAGATGGAGAACTACACTGGTCAAAACAATAAGGTCGAGAAATATGCCGACGGTACTCCCAAGGCCCGCATGACCAAGAAACAGCTTGAGGACGCTATTGCTTATGAGAATAGACGAAGGGAAGAACTCGCCATTGAGCGAGAGACGCGGAATAAAGAGCGACAAATGGAATATAGGCGGAAAGCTGTGGAGAAGAGGCGGAAACAGAGAGAGATATGAGCGACTACGAAAATGAGGTTTTTCATTTCGTTCTCAGGACCTCCTTTTCTCTTTTTTCTTTTCCCATATCTTTGCTAAAGAGGTCTGCTATACTTCTCCGAACTGTACATGTACTTTATACTTGAAATAGCGCGGGAGTCCTCTATTTTTTTTCAGTATTTGGCTCCAGGTCTTCTCTTCCTTTCTCCTTTTTTTTTTTTTTTCTCGCCTTGCCTCTTGTGCATTTTGGTGTTATTTTCCAACCCCTTAACCCGGTTTTATTACTTGCCTGATGTTCTCCTCACCCACCCCCCTTTCGCATAGATTTTATTTCTATATCCCCATACTGGCCAAACGCAGAGGCTATTTCCGCGTTGTCAGGGCGGGCTAAGCTAGCCAGTTTGCCCCCCAGCTGCACAACGTTCTGTATGTATTACAGAAACCGAATACAAACAATGTACGAATTCCGTGGAATGAAATTGGGGAAATATTAGAAATATCAACAAATAAATAACCAAAAGCAAAGACGAGTTGGTATGCACTGATCAACTGTTGTTTGGTTTTCCGTCGAATTATGTGTGCTTGATTTTACATATCTGTGCAGTAGCTATGACTCTTTGCCTCATTGGATGAATGGAATAAGAGCATCTCAATCCCTTTTCCCAAACTGGATTCCCGTCAAAACGGCCCCGTCCAGGCAGATTATGGCTTCCGATATTGAAATGAAATACATCTATTATTGCCGTGTATGACCCTGCTCGAACAATGGAGCAGAGAAAGCAAAATTGTGCACCCCATCCCATCACCCTTGAAAAACGATGCCACTAATTTGAATATAGACAGTTAAATCGAAAAAGAAGAAGAAGAAAAAAATCGCAATCCCAGTTTCTTCCATCCATTTACTCCTTTATTCCCATTCCCATGAAGGCTCTGGAATTCAAACGAATTAACCAATCGACGAACCAAGCCCAACCCCCAAAACATAAGGCAAAACCATAAAAACCACAAAAACCCCCATCCACATTTAAGTTATCGAAATAGTCTCCTACCTCCAACCCCTCGAACCCCGCATGAAAACGAGCCCTTTACGCCCGTACTACCCATGCTCAACGCCCCAAACCCAACACCGCCACCTTCGCCATCCCTCTTATACCGCCTAAGGGCTTCGCGTAGATGTGCAGGAAGGAGTTGGCCGCGGTGAGGGTTTGGGGGCGGTTCGAAGGGGCGTCTCGGTTTCTTGGATTTGATGGTGAAAGCTGATCCGGGCGACGTAGACGTTGAGTTGGGGACTGTGGTTGCGAACGATTGAGAATTTATTGGCGTGTGGACATTCTCATCTGTCCCCGGTTGAGTGCGCGAGTTTTGCTGTATCTGTGTCTGAGTTGATGAAAGGGGAACAGCGGTGGTGGTGGTGGTGGTGGTGGTGGTGGCGGAGGTGGTTTGTGGAAGTATGGAATCATTTGTCTTGATATCGTTGGCAGCCTGAGGTTTTTCTTTGACAGCAACCATTCCATTCTCTTTCGGTTCTGTTTTCGTAATCGAACGCAAGGCTGTCTCCGTTGTGCTGCTGCTCAATTCGACAGTCCGTGCCGGAGCTTGGGTATCCGAGCTAGGATCCGTAACAGTGGCAGTCTGTTGGGTAGATTGCGTAGATGTAGCGGTAGTGGCTTCAGCATCAGCTTTTGCCCGAACTTCCTCTTCTTCCTCTTCTCTCGCTAACGAAGCTTCATACTCCGCATACGCAACCCTATCTGCGGCCTCCGCCCACTCCTCTTGTACCGTCCGCGCCTTCTCCACCAACTCTCCTACAAACACTTTTGTGTAGCCACTGATTGTCGTAATGACATTCGGCGGCACTGACTGCGACAGCGTCTGATTCACGATCTTGCGCACCATAGATTTATTTAATTTAGCCCGTTTGAAGAAATCGTACCGCGACGATTGGGCGGGTGTGAATGCGTCGATAAGAATCCTGTTCAGTCAGCCTGCTGAGTTAGCTCCTTTCCATAAACGCCATATCAAAAACACGCACACGCGCATTCACACGCACATGAACACCCACAAACCGACGACAAAAAGGAACCACAAACGCAAATATAAAAACAAGACAAAGCAAAGAGAAAAAAGAAAGAAAGAAAGAAAGAAAGAAAGAAAGTAAAAAGAAACAACGAAAAAAACTCACGCAAGATTTTTCCTCTCCGCCTCCGCCTCCCTAGCCGCGCCATCCTCATCTCTCTCCCCTTCCATCCCCCCGTCCTCCAAATCTCCCTCGTCCCCCTCGTCGTCCCCGTCGTCTACATCCCCCTCCTCATTCCCCAAACCCCCCAACCCACCCCCATCAACAACTGTCCCCCTCAGGCTCCCCGACCCCTTTCTCCCGCCGCCAACGCCACTCCCTTTCCTCCCCTTCCTTCCACCGCCCCCAAACGACCCGGTAAAGCTCCCCGTCACGCTTCCGCCATCGGCTTCGGAGTTCGCACTCGCGGCGCCGGCGCTTAAGGCGCGCGGGTCCGCGTCTTGCGAGTTGGGAAACGAGGTTTGGCGGAGCGGGTGCAGGCGTTGTTTCTTGTGGGGGCCCGTGCCGGCGCTGGCGATGGTGGCGACGCTGGTGCGCCTTTTGGGGGGTTGGTTGGGCTTTGAGTGCGGGAGGGAGAGCGGGGCGGGCGGTGGGGATAGAGACATGTTTATTTATTTATTTATTTATTTATCCTTTTTGTTGCGGGCTCTGCACCTGGAGATGAGGTCTGAGGGGGACCCTGCTGTCCGGTGGTGTCTGGACGATATGCGGAGGGTTTGAAGGGTGGGAGATTCGAAGTAGAAGGACGTCCCTGCGCGGTTGGTTGGTGGTACAGTCCTACTGACACCAACGACTTGGTGAAAGGAGTGCCGTTGCGGCCGATGGTTGTGTGATGGTTCTATAGGGTTTCATTAGGTGTTAAGATGAGGAGAGAACCTGCGAAAGCTGGCGTTAGTGAGTATGGATAGAGCTTGCTCGAACCTTGAAGCAAATCAATCCGGGGAAAGAAGCCGTGACGGATTGTGTCACGTGATGGACCTCAAGAGCATAATAGCTACCTGATCATGGAATATATTTCTGCTCCACATTTTGAAAAAAAAAAAAAAGTAGTTCATTATTGATTTATATTTATTGACTGACATTCAACCTACAAGTGAAGGCTGGCAAAAGGGATTGAAATCGTGTAAAGCTAACAAACAGCTTTGAATTTCAAATGAGTGGAATGATTTTTGTTCGTCAGAGAAAACCTTTCAAGAGAGGAAATTGAAAAAAAAAAAGGATTAACCCGAAAACAAATAAAAAGTTTGTTTTGATTTCAATAGAAAAGCAAAGGAGAAAATGAAAGCACAATCAAGGTTGAAGGCGAAATCATTGAGATGTGGAGCTATCCATAGATAGTATCGAGCATCAAAGAAGATTGAAATCAAGCTAAGCAGATAAGAAAGCAAAAGCCGAAAGATTATAGGAAATTTTTTTTTCCATTTCACAAACCATCCCTCACTCTCCATTCTCCATTTCCCTTAAAGCACATGTTCCCCAATGCGCGGCGCGCCGCCTCTCCAGTCATTCCGCTCATAGTAGCGGAAGACAAGATCATACCCATCCAAATCATGCACGATGCGATCAACACGACGGTAGCCAGGGATCCGCTCCATCTTCTCATCGCGAACAGCCGCGTTTTGGTTGCGTTTCAGCTGCCGCTGATCGCCATGAGACTGGTAGCTTTCGCCATTTGCATTCCTGTTGGAAGCAGATACAGCACCATTGACATCGTTAGTATTATCGGTACTGTTATTGTTGGTAGCATTGGTATCAGGCCGCTTCTTAGCCTCAAACAGTGTCACGCTGAAACGACCCGGTTTGAAAATGTCTACGACATGCTCGACGATTTCGGAGGCTCCGCGCCCGCTTTGGAGTTGGGGAACGTTAGTTTCGAAGGAGGCGTAGGAGCAATGGGGTTCCGGGGTCACATGGACGGTGAAGTAATGGGAGCCGGAGATGGGCTTGGATGTTGCGTTCGTGTCGGAAGGGGGAGCCGGTACGACACCGTTTGCGGAGAATCCGCACGGCGTGAATAGATACGCATCAACGCGCGCACCAGGGTATTTGCTTGTTGGATAGATGTCGGAGAGACCGCATGATTCAGCAACGACGGTTCCAAGACCGTGGCCTTCTGTGGTGAGTTCGGGAGGCAAGGATTGTTGATCCATATCTGAGCCCAGGTCATCGCTTGAGTCGGAGGTGTTGCTGAATACATCCAGATGTTCATCATCCTGGTTGATGTTGTTTTTAGCTTGACGCTGGTATTTATACCGATGATGGCCTTCTGTTGCGACCGCACTCGCATGGTCGAGGTAGAATTGCTTAGCATTCTCCTCGTCCAGGTCAGTCATCAGTATTTCGAGAGTCTCGTCATCCTCCTCTTGTTCCTGAGTTGAATTCGCAGCAGAGGCGGCAATTGTCTTGGGATGCTCGGGGAAGTCAAGGACCTTCACAGCGGTATCATTGCTTGGCGTGGAAGGTGGGGTCAACACAGTATACGGCTCCGTCAGATAGAGGTACCAATGTTCTCCATTCATTTTGCCAATCATGTATGCGCTGCCTCCAAGGAATAGCTGGTCCATCGCCTTAACCTCATCGCGCCAGCTACGATGGGGACCGCGCTGGCGATCGGGGAACAAAAAGTTTTTTCTACTATAGAAGACGCGGTACGGAGCAGCCGCAGTCTTGATCCCAAGAGAAGCAGGGGCGGTGTTTTTGGGGAAACCAGCGTACAAGGCCGCAATCTCGAGGATGCGAGGCAATCCAGACAGTAGGGTAGTGGTTCCACAGGTTTTGAGAATGAGCTTGTGGGGGAATACAAACATGCTGGATTCGGAGAGCAGGTAAGCGTCGACATCGTCGGATTCGATGATTGACAAGACCTTGCAGCTGACAAGGTCAAGCATATCCTTCCATATCTCTACCGGAACGACTTTGAGGCCTTTTGGCTCCGTTGATCCGAGAAAGTCCCGAGGAGACGGACCAAACCACACCTCCAAAAGCTTTTCGGGCCCTATGACGATATATGAAGATCAGTAAATGAAGCGCATCAGGAAGGTTATGTATTATGAAGCTTCAGCAAGCTGGTGCAACGCACCTTCAAAGGCATTGCTCGAATCGAGATCCAAGGTAGCCTCATGATTAATTGTCAACGACGACGTCCCCATGAATGAGGATGGTGACGCCGTATAATTCTTCGGAATCTCAATGTTCACCATATCCGTAACCGTCAAAAGGGATTTTTAGTTCCAAATCCAACAAAGAGAACAAGGTAAGTAAAAGGGATATGAAATGAAGGTTCTTTGTTCCGTTTTTGTAGAAGACCCTGGACACGAGCGAAAACTTCTTTTATTTACTGAAGCACAATCTTCCACCCAGACGAACAATGCGGTGTCCGCCTGAGATAGAGGAAGGCCCGATTTGGCGATGGCAGATGAGAGCTAGCAGCCTACGCCAGCAAGGTGGTGAAGATCGATATGTGTAACAGTCCCTGCCCCAAGAGAGGCGTTATGGGGGTCTGGCGGAAAGAGGGATGAAGAAAGCTCTAGGATGGGGAATTGTGGCTAATCCGAAATATGAACCCCCGCACTGGCAAGATACCGATACCTGCAAAAGTATCGGGTCCAGCAGACGAGGAGATCTGCCTTTATAGAAAATGACAAGTTAAAGGGTTATGTTGGGTTTGCTATTTCCGGTGTCGGTTTGTGAATGGCTCGTTATCGAGGTCTTTTTTATATTCACGATGTTAGTTGATTTTGTTTGATCGAAGAGAAGAGGAGCAAAATGGGAATAAAGAATGAATTGGAAGGTCAGTTGAATTGGAACCACGATTCATTCCCAATTCCCAGACAAAATGGTAGGGGTATTGTGTAACATTGGCCAAGGTGGGCAAAGGGAATAAAGAGAGGGGCGAATATAGATATAACCTACTTTGCGGGCTTCGAGAGAAATCGTAGGAGATCCTTACGGCTCATGGAGAGAATTGTGGCGTTTCTCTTCAATGAGTCAAACGTGGCAGCTCATCTGCACGCCCAGATCATCGAACAGATGCTATATTGGTGGCTTTATCCCTCGCTGGGTAGATGAATTCGTCCTCTTTCACACGGACGAGGGGTGCTGAACGTAAATCACGTTATTTGAACAAACACTGCAAGAGCCGTGAGAAGTGTGTCAAATGAAGACAAACAGAACTGTGTAAAGCAAGGGAAATAAAACAAGATAGAAGTAATGGCAGATGTGTTTTGGATAGGGAATGCTGTAGGAGAGAGACGGTGTGTGTGTGTGTGTGTGTGTGTGTGTGTGTGCGTGTGTTTTTGCAGGTGGGTGTGCGTGTGTGTAAGAAAAGTTTAGAATGAGTTGAGAGAGATATTTCAACAATTGAGATGGCTACACACCTTGGAGATACAGAGCGACAGCAGCAAGTTCAATGAGAACTGGCTGAGAGATGGTCAGAATCAAAGAGAAGTTGGGTGAAGAAGAGGAAGAAATGTGGACAGAAGCACAACGCAACAGTGAGGTTGATGTAGAAGTGGGCTGGCTGGCTTGGGCGTTTGTCCGTTTTCCAAGTCACCGCGTCACACCAAGCCGCTTTGGGCAACCTCCCGCTTGACCAGTGTTGGGCTGCAGAGACTTGCGGGAGGCCTAGGGTTCGTCCGGGCCAGCTCGGAGCCAGATGATAAATCCGGAAGCTTGGAGGCCCTATACAGTTAATCGATGCCTGGGAATGAAGGGACAATCAATTCTACGTAGAACTATACGCAGCGAAGGTACGATTAACTACTCCTAGTATCTTCCATCTGTGTACAGATCTGTACGGAGTACGGAGTACAGATCTGTATATGATAGATCATAAAGAAGGGTTGTGGTTCGGACCATTGTTGTTCCGCAAAGATCACCCCACGCTATGGCTGGCCGCAATTTTTGGTGCTTCGCATCTTTGTTCTCCAGGGCAGAAATGAATTGAAGCAACGGACGGCATTCTGCGTAGATAACATACATTCATGCGTATCCATATATACTAGTATGATCTATTTATTTGAGATTACCCTCGTCGGCTCCGTCCCCTGTGAGGTGATGCAACTTGCAATTCCATCCAAATAACACTACTAGTAGTATGTTGCTACAACCTCTTCTCTGCTCAAAAATTGGATTGCCTAAAATTCCAAAGGGATTGACTTACATTTGCTGAAAAATGTATCTGTGAGCGCCCAGGCTGGCCAATCAATGCTTTCTTCTTTTCCATTGGGCAACGCAGCCAGCCAACCTGCCTCCTGCGGGATCTAGTTTTGCCCTGAGATTGACGCGCATGGGTGATGAGAGAGACTTGTTTCCCTCGTGTCAGTTATCCTTCATGTGGCGGTAGGGAAGAAGAAAGAGGAGGTTCTAAGGAGAAGAAGAAGGATAAAACAAGAGAAGAGAAGAAAAACCACAGGCCCGTACGTCCCAATATATTTTCGTTATATTGAGATTGGTGGGTGCTTTCAACTCTTGCTGCGATCTGCAGCAGTCGAGATGGCCTGGTTTTGTTTGTTTGCGAATCATCTGCGATTGACGATGTTAAAAGGCCTGTCATATCTAGACCTCTAGTGCCCCGGCGTAAGAAATATTGATAGATACATACATGCACAATCGTGCATTCAGGAAGCAGAAAAAAAAAAAAAAAAAAAGTAAAGCAAAGCAATAGATGGATGGTAGGAAAGTAATATGCTATCGGACCTCTCTTTAAGGGTATTCATCCCTCTGCTACCTAGTCCCAGTATGCCGTTTGATCAAATCTTGATCGAATCTCGTCATCAACCTTAATTATGACAATATCTAAAACTTATTCATTTCATTCCTTAAACTAACTATAAATACTGCTATTATTCAGTTTAATTAGCTAGAATATCTGTTAGAGATCAATTCAACTTGATATTTAGTGATAGTTATCGAGGAAATATTCGCATTATTATCAACTGGTTCTACGATTTCCTATAGCGATATCATTCTATCAGGATGGCAACCGAGATTGGCCCATCCAAATCAACGATTATCTTGGAATCTTCCAAGAACTGGTACCTTTGGTACTGATTGATACTATGCTTTCTTTACCTTACAACTCGATGTACCGGAGTTTATCGATGATGAAAAACCCCGATCGAATTGAGCACTTGTCGATGCCTTCTTCCCCGGATGTCCCTAACGAGCGCCACCCTAGGAGCGAAAGATTGGATTGGGAGATGCAGCAAGTACAATATAATAACGAGATAAACCAATATCAACGGAAGGTTGATGGCCGTTAGCAAGATACTGAGTGGGCGAAATCCTTCAAACGGTTATCTGCTAGTGAAATCCAGATAGCTACGAGAGGAAGCCGATGTTTTAACGTTAAGGGCCTGTTGAGCGCTCTTGAGATGCGATTATCCCCTAGAACGGCAGAGAACTAATATGAAGTTCCGATTGAAGTACGATAAGCCTTTGCAAGCGGCCCAAACAGAACCTAGAGAAGTGGTTAGATCACTGGGCATTGATTGGAGAAGATATTGAAGCATGAGATAGCAAGTAAAGGGAAGGATAACCTCAACCTAGCAAAGATGATCAGCGAATTCCGAGCTGAATATAAGAAGAACGGATTGTTAGATCCTGGACCAGCGATGTCCAATTTTGCTACCCTGAATGGCAGGCAAGCAGCACGGCAGGGGTCAAGAACCTGTATCTGTGGTTCTAATCATTCCTGTTGTTTATTACCTTGTTGCACACCTTCGTCCGGACGAAGGAAGGAGAATATGGATAAGAAGAGGGAATATTACCTCAAAATCACTAAATATCAAGTTGAATTGACATCTAATAGGTATTTTAGCTAATTACACTGAATAACAGTAGAATTTATGGTTAAGGAAAGAAATGAATAAGATTAAGACGAGATTTGATCAAGATTTAATCAAACGACATACTGGGGCTAGTATCCGCTAATTCGATATATATACAATGTACTGTACAAACACAAGATGAGAAGATAGGACAAATTAACTAGAAATAAAAACCTTTTTTGGAGGGAAAAAAAAGAGAGAAATGGAAAATCTATAGAAAGACTCCAGTCCCCGATACACCATGGAAAAACACCGTCAGCCTCGCGGGCGGCCCCCAAAAAAAAGCAAGATACAATAAGCAGGGGAATAAGGAGTTTCCCTCTCCAGAATGCCCAGGAACAATACATAAAGAGCAAGAAGCCGGGTGGGGGGGAATGACAGAATGACAACAACCAGAAATCCCCATCCATCTCACCGACTCCCAATTATCACATTCGCCAATCCCACCTGCCCACCCTCCAGTATCCTTCCAGCAATAACCTCCCCAACCTTCTCAACCAGCCTCCCCCTCACCTCTTCCTCCTCGCTCTTCTCCGAAACTCCATTTGTCACCATCTCCATCCCTGCATGCAGTTCACCATCGCCCAACGTCCCCAACACCGCCAATATAACCCCAATAACCTTCTCGGCCTCCAACCTCCTCACCGTTTCCTCCACCCCTGACCCGGCGCTGGCACCCGCACCCGCGCCAGCGCCAGCGCCAGCCCCTGTCGTCGTAGCAGTCGCATCCTTCAACACAATCTCATACGTCTTCAGATTCGGCACGATGAGTTCACGCACCACATCAACGCCGCCGATGGACTGCAGGCCGATGATGGCGCCGTAGTGCGTGCCCAGCGGCTTGCCCGGGTCCAGGAAGTCTCTCAGAAATGTGCGCGCGAGGCGGGGGCGGAGGGTGTGCGAGGAGTGCGAGTACTTGCGCGCTATCATGCTGATGAGGGAGGCTGCGAGGTCGCGGAGGGCGAAGTGTTCGAGGTGGTCGGCCGCGCCGGTGCTGGTACCCAGTTGGCGGCCGAGGAGGCAGGTGAGGACTGGGGGGATGAGGGAAGGGACCTAGATATATGTATATAAATACATACACAAATAAGTATTTTGTTGGGATTGCTCGCCCGGCGTTGGATCGTTAACTATGATTTGGAACTTACGTAAGGATCCACATAGAGCGTTTTATTCTGGATCAGCGCCTCGGTCATATGCATGACCTGCGTCAGCACGAATAGGTCCTTGAGGCTATGCGTGACTTTCTCGGAGATGAACTGGACGAAATACGGCACGAGCTGATGCAGGCCCGGGTCGTCTTTCAAACTTGAGAATGCAGAGAGCCGGTACTCATCGTTTAACTCGTCTAGGAACGCGGTGCACACTTTCTCGAAGTAGAGTTGCAGCTCTTTGGAGAGGATGTGTTTCACCAACGGCTTGACAGTGACGTTGTCGTTCCCGCTCATCGCTGCGAGATTGGCATTGGCATTGGGACCCTTGGACACCAATTCGAGATTCCGCGAATCCGCCCCCGCCGGGTTCTGTGGTATTGTAGGCTGCACTCCCTCGACGGCCAGCCAGTGCGCTAGAAGCAAGCGTATCAAATAGCAAAATGTCAATACCAATCCCCTTTCATTAAAAAAAAAAAAAAAAAAAAAAAAAAAACATAGATATATATAGATATATACACACCCGTAAACGTAATCTCCCTCGGCACCCTCGGCAACGGCGCATTAATCAACTTCTCAAAATCAACCTCGTCATCCTCCACATAGAAAAGCGGCTGTCCAGGGCCCAACGTCGCCTCGCCGAACCGCAACGGCCTCGTCGACTCGTAGCCATACAGCGGCTCCACATCCAACACGCGCAGCGCGTGCGAAACATCCTGCGTCGTCAGCAACGTGCGTTTGGCATGGCGCATGAATTTCAGCGCCTCCTCGAGGACCTGCGAAATGCGGTATTCGACATCGCGCGCGAGGTTGTCGACCACTTCGTCGCTGAGGGCGCCGATGCCGACTGATTCGGCGACGTCGCGGATGTTTTCTGGATTCCAGACGGACATTCTATATTATATATATGTGGCGTGTATTCGTCTTCTTTTGGACGGGTATTCTGTTACGATGTGTATGGGGGTAGCTAATGGGCGAATTTGTCTGGGCCGTCGGGGGGGGCCTGGTGGTTGGTTTCGAGGAGTGGGGATTTATTTTGATTCCCTGTCGCGACCGGAGTACGAAAATCGCCGTATCCACCTACGTATCTTAGGATAGTTTATGCCCCCTTCTGGAATCCGTAACTGAGTCGAGGATGCGACGGAGGACATGCGCTGGATGGACGTGAGAGAAGCGTAGCTTAGCGGTTGCACATCCTGGGATGGTAGCTCTTCACCAGCGAGTGAATTGAGTTTATTCCGTCCTGTGAACTAGGGCTTATCCACCCGCTGAGCAGTCCAGCGCCAGCCTATACCATGTGAATAGGCTGTATGCAAGCTTCGAGCACTCGTGGTGAGAAGGGATGAAGAAGATATTTATGGTCCTATCGTTGCTGGTAACCTAGGTAGGACGGAGAACGAAGCTTAGATTGCGCTTGTGGCGCAAATCACCCGCCGGATTGACCTTGCTTCATCTGCAATGCCTATCATGTATTTACAGCCCTTCACTAACAGTATTATAGCATAATAAATGAGTTGTATCAGAGCAGCATAGAAACTGAATTAACTTTTGAGTTGGAATAAAAACCCTGAAAAATACAAGTTTGATCAAGTAGACTAAAGAGGACAAGGAAAAGTTATTTTGAATGGTATCATGGAGGGCAGTAGTAAAGAAACAGGTGAGAGGGAACCTTCAAGATAAAAAACGGAAAGCAAATAAAAAGCCCGCAGAGCCCTCTCGTCCTACTCAGATTCAGAACAATCACGGAATGGACAACAGCAAGCACCTCGGTGTATCAAGAAACAGGCCATACGCTATCAAGTTACTTGAAAAAAAAAAAGAAAAGAAAAACAACCTCAGGCCAACTTCTTTTTTTTCGTCGAACAGTAAAAAGGCACCAGCTCTCCGCAAACATCGATACAAGGTCTTTTTCAGCAGTTGAAAAACAGCTCGTCAAACCCAACAAAACCAGAAGCTACGTATTATTATAGCTGTGGGTGAGCTTGAGCTGGTTAGGTTAGCGCAACAAAACAAACGGCGAGCTGGGAGCCATAGTAAGTACTCACACACGTTGCGACCAAGTAATGAAACAAAGTAAAATTACGAGAAAAAAAAAGTTCAACGTCACAAGGGGGATGAACAAGGTGAAGGAGATCTCCAAGATCATTTGGCCACTTCAGCAGGAGTTTCACTCGCTGAAGAGGCTGCAGGTTTCTCAGGTTCAGAAATTGCCGCAGGGGCATCGGCTGCGACTGGAGCTTCCGCTTGCTTGGCATCTTCAGCGGGAGTCTTAGCTACCTCTTTCGCAGAGCCATTGGTTTCGGTAGTAGGGGGGTTGGCCTGGGCTGGAGGAGCGGATTCCGGAGCAGGAGGTTCAGGGGTATCCTCCCTCAAGGTGACAGTTCGAGCACTTTCTGCCAGCTCATCCGCCTTGCCACCGTACGACTTGGGAAGCTCGTCAGCAAACGAAAATTCACGAGCAAGATTCACGCCATTGGTGATAGGGTGGAACTTCCGGATGGTGTTCTTGCTGAGGAACACCTTCAACGCGGTGAAGACCCAACCCATGAGAGCAGGAACATTGACGAAGAATTTTTCCTTCAGGAGCTCTGGATACGCGGTGCTAAAGACGTCGATGGTTTGTTTGGTGGCACTCTTAATCGTAGGGTTCAAACGAAGGAAGCTGACGTTCTGGTAGTCATGGACCTGGATCATCTGGTAAGGGTCCTCGCCAGAGTAATCGATCACGGATGTGGCTTCGCTAAGCTTCAAGTCTTTAACAGCCATCTCCATCAATGCAACTCTCCACTTGATAAATCTATATAGATAAAAAAAAAAACGAAGCGGGGCCAGTCAGTGATTCTGGTCAGTGCAGGGACGGAGCTGATAGAACCTACTCATCAACATCGCCAAAGGTACGATTGACATCTTTGACAGATCCGTAAATGTTCCAGGTGAAAACGACCTTTCCTTGATTCTGGTCTTTGTAATTCGCAACATAGCCGAGTCCCTGAAACTTGCTTGAGCTGTAAGTAGCCTGTTCAGCAAGGGCTAAGGGGTTCATTTTCTTGCGCCATTCCAGAGCCTTTCTGAGCTGCTCTTCTGCGAGTTTGACGTTACCCTCATTGGCACGGAGGAACTTGATCAACACATTGACGGTTGGCACGTCATCGGAATCCTTGAGGGTGACGCCCCACATCTCGTTGTGGTCAGCCTTCTTGAGGATAGAGGCAAGTTTTTCGAAAAATTCGCTGAGGGCGGGGTTCTTGGACAAGTACTCGGGCCGCGTATCGACAGGAGTTTCGTCAGGTTTGTTCTCGGATCCCGCCCCGTTCTTCTTTTGGCCGTCTTTCTGTGCTTCGATCGCATCCACATCGGGTGGCTGGGCGGAGGTAATTGGGTCCGCAGTTGGAGCTGTGGCAGCAGCTGGTGGCGCATCGGTACTGGGATTTTCCGTTTGTTTATTCTTTTCATCCTGAGGAGCCTTGGTGGTGCTGTTGTCGGTCGCCGACTGTTGTTTGTCCTGGGTGGTCTCGGGGGCCTTCTCAACAGCGGGGACATCAGCAGTGCCTGCAGCAGCAACGGCTGCTGCTGCTGCGGCCTGGGCAGGTTTCTCAGTTTCCGACATTGTTGCCAGAAGGAACGCAACTAAGCTATATATACTCGTATGGGTGAGTATTACGAGATCCTGGTGAGGAAAAGTTAATTCAACGGGTCACAACGGCGAAGGCACACAGCAATCAGCGAAGACGGTAGGATTGCTGGGGAGCTTACCTACCAGAGAAAAGCTATGCACTTGTGAAAAGACTCAATCGCAGCCTGCGATAAGGGAGAGAGCAGAGACAGCAGAGAGCAGACGGCAGAGAGACAGAGCAGAGGGAGCAGGAAAAGGGGTGGGAAGAGGTGGGAATTGCCAAGAGGAAAGGGATGAGAATCGACCACCGAGCCGCCAGGAGCTGGGCTGGGCCGGGTTGAGTTTGAGCTTGTGAAGGTGGAAATGAAACACGACGGCGGGAAGTGTGAGTTTCAGCCTTTTGGCAGTTTTGGCAGTTTTGGCGGCTGCCCAAAGTGCCCCCAGCGCCTGCCTAGTTCGGCAGGGGGGCCTTCCCCGAAACACTGCCCCTATCCCAATGTGCACTAGCGTAAACAAACTGCCGAACCGGGAACTACCCGCGCGCTTACGAGAAACAGCCGCCCACGCTTCCAAGGTTCGCTTGTGCTCCTAGAAACAAGTGCCAATATACAGTATAATTTGCTCTTCTACGCTCCAAATCTATGCATCCATGGAGAGAACAGATTGGCGGGGAAATTGCTGTCTCTGTCCAATTGTCATTGGAAGCTTCTGGCCAGGAGATGATATCCTTTACGACCTTGGATACTAACCAGTGCTAGTGCTGGTATGCATGCATCAGAACTGCTTCAAATAACACAGGAGAATGAATATGTCCCACTTCTTGTATTTCACAGCATTCCCAGCTGCCTTTTCCTTTCCAACTCCTGTCTGGCCAATGAGTGAATTTGAATTGTTTTGATATTGGCTCCACGCGTGGTTCTGACGTTCCACTAGCATCAGCTCCATATTGTTTGACGTCTTGCCAGTCTGCTTCCAAGGTTGCTGCTATCTTTCTCCCTGTTTGGCGCGGTGCATGCTCTCTTGCAGTGTGCGGCTCTTTCTCTCTTTCCCCTTCTGGCCTCCGCAGCGAACTCCGCCTTATCAGTCTCAGCCAAACCACCCTGTATGCATTGTCATTCGCATCATCGCCATAATCATCATCACGCCCATACGCATCTGGCTTTCTTTTGAAGGAAGGCAAAAAAGCAAAAGACATCTCGTCTCTGGCTATCTATCTACTGACTAACTGACGTGCCTCTCGTTTGTGATGGTTCTTTCACCTCACCCTCGTTGCCTTTTTCCAGTCATCGAACACCACGTACCACCCAGGATCGGCCACGGTTTCTTCAAAGCAGGCGCTGATGTACGAAATACCGAGCATTCGAGAACTCTGTCGTTTTGCGCTGAGAACTCTCTATCTCTTCTTGCATTCTATAAGACCGTATGGGCCTTGATACTAAAGCAGTTTGCCAACACTGACCATGTCTACTTTGGTGTGGTAGACACCAGCCATACCACTCGGGGCATGCCCTCTGCTCCGGGAGGCGAGGCTCAGGAGCAAGAGCACTCAAAAACCCAGTCATGGTGTCATGTCCATCTTTCTTCAACAGATACTCTTCTTGAAATTTTGGAACAGCTAGAATCAGAGCCGCGACGGGGATACCCTGCGGAAGGGCTGGGGGGATCATCTTTGTGTTTCAACACAGAAATACATCTGCTGGAAGGAGATGTCTCGGATTATACAGGCGGAAACGACATATATCCGGTAACATGGATTTTGTTTCATATAGCTAGCGGATTTCTTCTTGCTAACCGGTCAAATGGCTTCTAGTGCCCTGGGATGGTCGATATCCAGCTATGCATCTCCCCAGATCAATTCGTTTGTAGGTGTCGGGCTTCGTCGATGACGGGGACAGCCGCCCAAAGCTTATGTGAAACATTCAGAAAGACTGTTGCAAGTGTCTTGGCCAACCCACGACAAACCGTTCCAGGCTTGGACATGCTCTGTAGTTATGACAGATCCAGAATCGAGCGTTGGAATAAAATTGATCCGTGGAATCAAACCGTAAAAGGATGCATTCATGACCTGATACAGATACAGGTCTCGTGTCAGCCAGAGAGCCTTGCTGCTGATGGTTGGGATGGACCCATGACATTCCGCGAGCTGTGGGATCGATCTTCACGATTATCCTACTACTTCCACGATCTTGGAGTCAAACAAGGGATAATGGTACTGTTCAGCATGGGCCTATCCAAATGGGCAATTGTTGCCATGCTGGCTATTCTTCGCACCGGCGCTGTCTGTGTTCCGATCGACTTGCTGGACCCAACGCCTTATATTCGGGTTATAGAGGCAAAACTCGTTTTTGCTGACCAGTCGCAAGTGGAGCAGCTCCTTGGCAAAGTCGAGTATATACTTACAGACTTACAGGGTTTCGTGGACCTGCTCGGCCCAACGCCTGACATTTACGAACCACAAGTGTCCCCTCAAGACCCGGCCTTTGTCATGTTTACATCTGGCATCACTTCCACACCAAAGCCTGTAATCCTAGGCCATGAAGCCATATGTACCAACATTCTCCACCTTGCAGAAACCCTGGAAATTAACGACAAATCGCGGATTTTTCAATGTTCATCGCTTACATCCAATGTAAGTATCTTTGACATTTTCGGCACAATCGTCAAAGGCGGATGCGTATGTTATGCCACAGAACATGATAGGGACACAGATCTACCACGCGCGATCTCCGCTACCCGAGCCACACACGTCCTCCTTACCCCTGCCCTCTTACGTGAACTGACTCCAGATACCGTCCGTAGCCTGGAAGTTATATCTGTCATCAGCGACGGCCTCGCGATAAGCGATTTGCTGAGGTGGCAGGACCACGTCAGTTTAGTCCATCTCTACGGCAACACGGAATGCACCATCTGCTGCACAGCGACAGACACGCGCCACCAGGAACGATTAAAATACCACGGTCGGCTCAACATCGGCCGCCCGATAGGTTGCAGAACATGGATCGCCGAGCCGAGCAATGTTCATCACAATCTTGTCCCAATTGGCGGAGTTGGCGAGCTGCTGATTGAGGGCACGATCCTAGCTCACGGCTACTACGTATCAGAAGCGGCAGAAGAGGGAGGAGGCAATGGAGGAAATGAAAATATGATGACGCAGCCATTTATCGTTGATCCTGAATGGCTTTCGAAATTTCCGAATATAGCGCCCCCTGGGAGGAAGGTTCGGATGTACAGAACGGGGGACCTGGTGCGGTATGAATCCGATGGGTCCATTAAGTTTATGCGGCGGATGGAGATGTAATGTGATATAATGTCTTGGAGGGCCAAGGAGTGGAGAAAGATTTTTTTTTCTTCGTTTTGTTTTTGTTTTTGTTGTTGCCTTTGTTTTGTTTCTCGATGGAACCGGATCCATTTACTTAATCAAGAAGAAATGAATGTGAATTACGAGGGGTAGACGGGTATTATGAGGGAGTAGAAGGAGGTTAAAAGGGAGCCCTGGAGCATCTTGACAGAAGAGGTGGAAGGGTTTTGGATAATGGGCAGACACTCTTATGACGTATCAGAACGAACCATGTTATTTATTTTAGCGGCCTACTTACGCTGTACTTGCGCGCCATCCCAATAGCATACGGTATTTAATGGTTCCTTGCTATACGAGCAGATGTACAGTACAGTGCAGTACAATAGTGGATGGCTGGATCTGGATAGGTCTTGGGACGTGACGGTCTACATTTCGAATGCCCAAAGCAAGCCAAGCCAGAGCCCCTTAGTTACGTCTTGTCTTCTATTGTTACATGTATCTTCTTCTTCTTCTTCTTCTTCTTCTTTAATTCCCCAAGCCCAAAATATGGGAGACACCATCGCCATCACCAGAACGATCAGAGTAACACAGGCGCAAGCCGGTTTTGCCATGATGGCATTTTTTACTCTAGCGTAGAGAAATCGGGATCAAAGGAGTGGGGAAAGGACGGGGATGGGCCGGTATACCATACCATACCATACCAACTTAGGAGGGGGTAGATACAGATACAGATACAGATACATATATATATATATATATATATATATATATTGTTTGGTCAAAAAACCTACTGCGTATATATTATCTCGAGCTATGGGCGAGAAAGGTACACATCATATGCACAGGGCAGATAAATGTTGAGGGGAGGGATGAAAGCGGAAAAGAAGAGAGAAAAAAAAAAGAAAAGAAAGAGAGAGGAAGAGAAAGAGAAAGATGAACACGCACAGGAAGAGAGAGCGGAGTCGTTTTTTTCTTTTTCCATTCGAATTCAAACCACAAAAAAAAAAAAAAAGAATCTTCAAGATTTCATCTCTCATGGTTTTGTCCAGCTCCCTTATTGCTTTGCGTGAAATGGGCAAAAATTGGAATAAGAATGTGAAAAGGGGTTAGAAATAAGGCCTGGGACGGGGTTGTAGGCAGAAAGATGTCGTTACATTCTGGCTGGCTTATCAATGGAGCAACCGGGTAGTGGACTAGAGGGCACACGCGGGGGCAAGAAAGAGGAGAGGAAAGGAAGGGAACAAAAAAAAAAAAAAAAAAAAAAAAAGAAGATAGAACGAAGTCGCAGGGAGTAAGTAATAATTGAAATTATTATCAGATAGTTGTTCTCAAAATCAACGCGGCATATTTGGTTTAAAATAATAACATCCAGTTGAAGAGATAAGTAGCGCAGGATGTAGAGTCGGTTTGGGTACGACGATTCGGTAAAGATGACGTCGGCGATTAGAGGGGGGGAAACGAGTACAAGAATGAGGGTTTATTGCCGGAAAATATAAAGAAGCAGGAGCAAAAAAACAAAGAAAATTTCACCGCTGGGACTGAGTGCTTGTGAAATCATTCGGAATCTTTGGCATGGGCGGGGGTTGTTCATTGCTTTCATCATCGTCATCATCTCCTGCAAGAGCGTCGATGTCTTCGGGATGTCTGGGATATAGTCAGTAAAAACTAAAAAAAGTCAAACATGCTCGATCCACCCTCCAGCTCAATAAATGTTCGCGCCCGAAAGGGGAAGTTAAATGTCAAAACGTACCCAAGTAGCCCCTTTACCATACTCATCTCATAGTGCTTCCTCCGCTTCTCCTCGAAATCACGATGCTTTTCGCCGGCTTCCGGACTATGATGATCTGCAGCACGGTCGTCCGCGCTCCCATCCTCCCCTACAACAACATGCTTCCCCGGCCGTCCTGAACTCCCATCACTCATGCGACGATTATCTCGTGTAATTCTACCGGACCCACTCGGGGGCCCTTCCACCCACCCAGACTCCTCCAGCTCCCCCAGCTCTAAGCCGGGGATGTCATCGTCACGAACACCGTGCTTGCGCGTTCTATACATATCCAGCTCATCGACGGCTAGGTCGTCGGTGTCGATACCCATTTCCATGTCGGTATCATCCTCATCGTCATCTGGGTTATAGTGGGGGGCATAAGGTGTCTTTGGCTCGTCGATCTTCATGGTTGAAGTTCGCTCTTGTTCGGTGAGGTAGAGGTTTACCTCGTCCCATTTTAGACGGGGGGAGTTTTCACCATCACCACCATCCGTGTGGATTCCGCCGTTAGGGCGTGAGGCGGACGATTGGCGGCGGGATATTGAAGATCGGGGGTTGGTGGTGGGGCGGCCCGCATTTTGTAATGTGTTTTGAAGCGTGAGCTCTTTGGTGTCGATGGGAGGCTGGGGGCTTATAGTACTGCCCGAGATAGTTGGGGATGTCTGAGGCGGGGTGCCTTGGGAACATGGCCTGTTTTTGAGGATGCCTTGGATTATGGCAAGTCAATATCTCTTGGACCCTTACTATAACGAAAGGGGAATTGGCGAGGACACAAGGTGCTACTTATCTGTAAAAGGGCCTCCTCACCTTTTGGCTGCTTCTGCATCCCATCAATGCTTGGCAGGTTGGTATGAGATTGATCTCGCATGATCGTACCTATGCGAAGGGGTATTAGCAATGATTCTCGAGAAAGAATGCTCTGGTTGCCTTTGCTGCAGACATAGCAAGGGATAATAGTATCCTGTCCCTTCTTAAATTGCAGCTGAAAAGAGGAGGGGTAGGAGGGGAGACGGAGGAGCCAAAGACCCACTGGTTCAGTTTTAGGTATAGAGATGATCAAGAAATTCTAAGTCTGAAGGAAGACCGATACCGATGGATGGCAAAGCTGTAGTTGTTTCTATCTCCGAGAGAAGACGTAGGAAGACGTAGGTCTTAACTAGCGGACGTCGCCGGATGAAAGGCAGGGCAGCTTTTCTTTGGTTGCGCGAGTGAGAGAGGCGCGAGCCCAGCGTGAAGAGCAGGAGGGAGAGCGGGGAAAAGGGAGCAAGGATACACAACCTCCCTACGACAGGAGTGTGCTATCCCCCAAGAGGATAAAAAGCGACCTGGCCGATGGTTTTGTTGTCGCAACCAGACAATTTACATATACAAGCGGGACGAGGAAGAGAATGTGGAGGTTCAAAGCCGGCTGCAATGACGTAGCTGGTTAGCCAAGCGCTTTCTTATATAAGCGCAACAAGCGCAACAGCTTCTATCAGCTTCCTCTTCTTGTAAAACATACATTTTTACATCTTAACCAGTATCTAGATTCTTCAATATAACAGATAGATTTAGAAGTTCAAGGTCGGTTGTATCAAGAATGTTATATTTCAACAATATCTACAGGCGTTAAAACAATACTTCAAGCAAAATGGAAGAGCAAAAAGAGCAGATCAAATAAGAGATGTGTAGAAGTTATAAAGGCAAACAAACAGACAACACAACACAGTGACCAGCAAATAAACTACCCATCAGTCAATACGACGAATAAGCGGAAAAAAATAAATTTCAAAATATGAAAAGGCACAGTATTCAAGGAAAATGACAAAGATAGCCTCCCCCAGTTATATATAGTTCCACTTTAGATTTTCCTTCATAAGCCAGAAAAGTGAATGTTTTTTCTTGTAAAAAAAGATAAAGAGAGACACACATGACATGGGATGAAAAAAAAAAAAAATAAATAAAAAAATGCACCATGGGTTGTGTTAAAAACACATTGTTTTTGTCAAAAAAAGAAAAAGACGGCAAATATCCACCCATGATATTTAACTCAAATATAATGAATGAGAGAAAGAAATGATAAAGACAGCAAATAGAGTAAAACAGGAGAATAAAACAGAAGGAAATAATAATAAAAAAGGGGGGCCAAACACCGACAGTAACCGTTATTTCCATCGGATGAAAACAAAGAGAGCTAGAAATAAATGTACTCAAATGTACTGTACGAAAAGTTTGAAATATATATCTAGATCGATTGATCGGTCTCCCCGACACCTAGGGGAGGGGCAAAAGAGAGAAATGTGAAAACATTGGGTGAAGTAAAACACATGCAAGAAAAACCCATGATGAATGAAGGAAATCCCGTGGGAAAACGTTGGAAAACGAAAGGACAAACAAAAAAGTAAGTAACAAGAAATGGCAAGCTGGTATAGAACAGGGGAAGTCTCAAACCCACGCACCCAGGAAGAACACAACAAAATAAAATAAAATAAAATAAAAATGAAATGAAAAAGAAAACAAATGAAAAACCATGCATACAACAATCCCGTTGGTTTGCCTTGTCGAGGCGCTCACGCAATCAAATCAAACTCCTCCCGCTCCCTCAACCGGTTCCTCGCCAACTCATCCCCCCCAGCCGCCGAGAGCTGCATCCAGTGCAGCGCCAAACACATACTCTGCGGATCCGACTTCGAATCACCATCGCGACGATACATCATCTCTGCCTTGAAGGTGTTGCGCGGCATGGTCAGCGGCAGCGTCACCCGCGGCAGAATCTCTGGGTGCGTCAGGTATAGAATGGCGAGTTCGCGCTGGGCGACAGGGTTTCCTTCCCGCGCCGTGTGTATCCACATCCATTTGGCATCCTCGAGGCCGTTGAACCGGCAGAGGTCCGCGGCCGCGGCCGTGGTGGGCTGATGGCTGTGGTTGTTTAGTGTGTTATGGCGCTGATGCCGTTTGCTGAGTTCGTGCGAGACGATGTTATCTGCAATTTCAACCATGCTGTTGCAAACGTCGTCTTTCAAGGCGAATGCAGCTAGGCCAAATTGGAGAAATGCGGTTCCGCTATGGGTCTTGTTTAGGATTTCTGAGGGGATAAACGCTGAGATGAATTGGAGGTCGCGGAATAGGGTCTTTGGTTGGATGGTTTGGATCAAGTCGCGCATCGCGAGGATTATCTCCGTCTCAGATGGTGGGAAAGTGGAATATGAGGCTACCGATCCCCATACAGGTGAACATGCGGTTTGGTTTCGGTTCGGACTTTGGTAGTTAGCTGATTGTGGTTGTGGTAGTTTCGACCCTTCAGATAAGCTATTGCGTTGGAATCGTCCGCTATCTGATTGAGGAAATGGCGGTTCGGCGAAAGCACCGAGCCCTTCGTTAGCTTGACTATCATTCCTAGAGCTCAGCGATGAGATCACCAGTGACCTTAAATCCTGCAGTGCTTTGAGCTTGGTATAGGGATTGGATTGTCGCGAGAATCTCTCCATTAACTGGCGAAAGGCAGTGTCATACGCAAAATGGAACGAATCAGGTGTTTCCTGAAGAGGGGATGACTGAGTAGGGGTTGGTGTACGTAGGTCCTGTTCCGCTGGCTTGTGAACACTAAGCAAAATAGCATCCGCGGACCTGCTTCTCCTGAGTTTATGAGACATGGGGACCCCATTCTCGTCATCACTAGAAGCACATTCCGCTAAAAATCTTTCCAGCCTCGCACGTCTCTCCATCTGCCTTTGGATCCGTGGCTGATTCAAATAAATCGAAAACCAGGCATCGGTTTCGCTACCACAGCTCCAAACAGGAGAGCCAAGATCGCTCAGCAACAAGCTCGTTAGGGTTTGCCTAAGTTCGTCCAAAAACGCAACTTTGCCCTGAGCATTCCGCTCAGGTCTCCTCGATGTCAAGACATCACTAAACATCGAAGGGGGTCGAGAGTGGAGGCTCGAAGCGCTCGTTGTGGACTGCGCTTGTGTGTGCATTGGAGACCAGAACGTGGAGTCACTGGCGGATGTCGATATAGCTCTACCAGGTGAGTCACCGATAGAGGATGTATCGCCGCAAGTTGCATCCCTGCTCGATCTCCATCTTTCTGATGCAAGGCTTTGGAACGACGATTTGCGCACTATTGATGGCGCTTCGTTTAAAGAACGGAAATTATGGTCAAACGTCCTAAGACCCACACCCACACTAGATGGCGCCTGGTACAACGACTCTTCACTCGCAATGCTTGACGGTCGAAGACTCGACGACGCGCCAAGCCCAGTGACAGGTCGCCCGCCAGATGCATCGTAGATGGTGCGTTCCTTTTGATAGAGCTCACTAGACCACAAAACGGGAGTTTCGTACATTGTCTCCCCAACCAGTTTCCCAACCGCCGCCTTTATCTCCAAGCAAAACCGGTGAATTCGCTCCTCTCCCTTGCAGAAGTTATCAATGCCAGAACGCTGCAGCCACTTGCTAGTCATGTCAACTTGTTCATCGGACAATTTAGATCGGCCACCTTGGCTTACAGGCGCTTTCATCGCATTCATAGTTTGGATTTCTGGCTTTTGAAGGAATGATGCACCAAGTGTTCTTGAGCCATAGCGAGGTTTGGGTTCAGGAATCGGCGATATCGATGCGGGCCCAGCCATCGTTTGTAACGCGAGAGCAACACTTCTTGCTTCTTCATACCTCAGTGAGTTTTTGACATCGTTCATATACCACATCTTATTCCTCAGCTTCGCTAAACTCGTCATCATCTCTACTGTCAGAGATCGAAGTCGTGTCATTGCTCGCTTAAGATCCATTATCCTACTCTCACACTGCTCAATGATGGCAGTAGACGTCTCGATTGATTTCCTCGACGATGAAAACAGGGGCATCAAAAGCTTCGAGTGATCGCCGGTGACCCAAAAATTTGGGTAAACCTTTTGAAGAAGTCGGGATGCATTCCACCAGTAGTGGGCGCCAACGAAGTCAGCCTGGGATTGACAATAGTTCATGGCACTAGCAAATTTCTGCTTAAGGGAGGGTTCACTTGTTCCGGGAGTAGCAGAAGTGATCGGGTCATAGTGGCAAAAGTCCTCCAAATGATCGAAATCGTCTATCAGCTTGACGATGGCACTTTGTAACATCTCCCGATCGTCGTCTACCAGTGATGACGCAGGACGGCTATCTGGGTCATCGTTGGAGAATGACCCTCCAGACTCCAACTCCTGATCAAGAGAAGGCATCAATGCAACGGTTCTCCCGTCATTTGAAACAGAGATCAATGCCCAGTCCTCGCTCGATGGGCGACCCATTGTGGGGCGATCCTCCGACTCGTTGATCTCAGATAGCTCATACCGAATGCGATCTGCATTTCTGGCGAGGGAGTTTTGTGGAGATACCGGGCTTACTGGCTTAGTGCCCGGCACTGCGTACGACCTGGTTGCATCCTGGAAACTCATTTCAGTGGTGAACACGGTCTTTGCGGTGGATGAGCGAGAAGAAAAAGTATCAATCCTTCCCTGGAAAAGATTTGGTTCAAAACATCGGCCCGGGGCATCATTTTGTGGAAAGAAAGAATTATTAGGAGAAGACAGAACGGAGTGATTGTGATGATTGAATGAGTTTGAAGAGTTGAAAAAGGTAGGGGGCGCCTTAGGAAAAAGAACATCCAAAATAGTCATGATATCCGTTGGAGACAAAAGTAGGAACCGTTCGGGTAAGTTTTGTTTCGTAGCTGGGTGCGCAACGGGCGGGTTGATGGTAACCTGGGACGATGAAATCGGATTACAAAGGTGGGAAAGCATATTGTCAATATGGATTCTGATTTTTGCGTCAAAGTATGAAAATTGGGGCCTATAATAACGTTAATATGTGGATAATTGTTTTAGGGATTGAGCATGCTAGGGAGACAGGCGGGAACTTACAGGGTGTGTAACTCTCGAGATACTTGTGACTGAGCTCGGAGTGAAATTTGACCAAGCAGCCTCTCTCGTGCATCCTTAGAAATATGGAAATCGAGTAACAAACCAATAGACTAAGCCGGGAAACGTAAGCTGGAAATGCACACCTCAAAAGAGCGATATCGAAAAATATAAAATTATGGAGCAACAGTAGGATGGGAAATAAGGGGTATAAACGAACCTCCGGGAATAAAAGCGCATTATGCATGAATTTACAAAAGAACCACTGGAAAATTATATACTCCACAGCTCGTTTTCGGCTCTCAGTCATTCCAAGCTTAGAAAGAACAGCATTCCCGAACTCCAAAGCACCACGTGGAAAACCTCCATCCGAGTCATCTAGGACTTCAAATAGGTCCCGAACGGCAGATTGGAAAAACTCCTCGGCAACACTAGTTCGCAGAGGATCAGGGAGTTCGCCATCGTGGCCAAGTCGACGTGGGGTTTCTGGGTGTTGCAGGAGGAAAGCACCTTTCTGGAGAACATCCATCAAATAGATCTCAAATTTGGGTTTAGCCTTCCATTCGGTGGAGGTAGACCAGGCGGACAGAAGGTGGCCAACTAAAGAATAATGACTGCTTCCACCATAGGATACCAATTTTGCACAGGTGGAAGACCACACATCCAAACGTAACTGGGCCTCGCGGGAGTCGGTGCTCCCAGAAGAAGCAAAAACATTAAAAATCAAAGCAGAGAGAGGATCGGTCCTCTCGAAACCCAAAACATGCTCTTTGAAAGCAGTGGCATGTGCAGTAGTACGCTTGGAGAATAGCGGCTGCGTTGTTCTTCCGCGAGACGCGAGAGGGAAAACGGAATCACTGACTTCAAGCGTGTGGACAGAGGGGACGAGCGCAGAGAGCTGAGAAGGAAGTAAGTTACCAATGCGCTCAAAAAGGAATTGAGGATCCGTGCGGACCAGACTCAAAATTTCCAGTAGACATTCCCTGGAGGTTGGAGTAAGTTGGTGCACAAAACTATAGGGGCGGCGGATTTCCGAATCAGAAGCGGAAGTACCAGAGAATCCGAGGAGAGAATCGTGTCCCAGGACTGAAGGATTTTTGATACCATGCGTGGAGGGCTCACATGCCTCACGGACATCATGGATGTTATTATAAATCGAAATAAAACTAGCCTTATCGCCCAGCTTAAAACTTTCAACTAACCCTTTTTGAGAGATTGCTCCAAGCCTGAGCAACCGAGTAGAAAGACAAATGGAGACGCGAAAATGACGTAGCCGTTGCAAGAGGCTGCGCTTCTGGGCTTCCTGATGTTGTTTAAGATGGAACTGGGCAGCAAATTGTGAAAACGGGATTCCAGCAACTGGCTCAGGCGCCGTCACTGGCTTCTTTGCAATTTCCAGGATGTCCTGGGGTATATGAGGTTGAGCCTCCTGAATAGCCGATGAGGGAGAAGCTTTGGGATTTGGCAGTTGGGCACCAAGCTTAGGCGGAAACCCATGATTTTTGGGCGGCAGGTGACCTGTGGAATGAGAGCTGGGGGAACCTTTGCCTTGGGGAATAGACACTACTGAAGACATGGCAG